TCAAAGTACCACCAATCATAAGAGGTAAGGTCGATGGGGAACACCCGCGGGCCGTCTGCCGCTCCGTCGCAAGAAGTGAATTGGACCGTGCTCGAGAGCGATTGGGTCGAGGAATAGGTTATCGTGTCGTTGAAGCATTGAGATAAGGCGCTAGGCACCAGGGCCAACAAGGCTGGGAGAAGGACAGGGGTTCTGAAGCTCTTCATTTTGCGGCTGGCCGGACGTGTTTTACTGAGATAGACGATCTCTGGAGGCGCCTTCGATCCTGACTTCTGTGATCTGGGGAAGTCTTCTCCAGGCTGGGACGACACAGCTCTTTGTACTTTTCCATCCCCTGTAGACTTGGGAAAAATTCTTCAACGATCGTCCGCACTTCTGACTCCGCCATCTCAATACAATAAACGGTCATGGTGACATTGAGTCTATTACCTCAGAAACTTTGTACTCACTTTTGTTTCATTAAAGATCGCTGGGAAATTAGCAATTTCTCGTGTGAAGGGGAATATGGACGGAAAGAAGCGCACAATGTCATCTGTGCAGTACCTGTGCGGTGCTGGTCAAGTCTCTTCGGACATATGTAATATCGTGTGGCACTGTGGCGTAAGAAACAGGGGTAAACTACCTCCCCCATATGGAGCAGATCGGCGAACAACCTGGAGTCGCCCGCACCCGGACACAATCATTGTGGGGAGGATGGTCTGAACTAACCTAGTTTCTATAGTCGGGAGAACACATCGCCGGTGCTAGTGGGTAGTGAGGACGAGTCAACCATATTGACACGGAGGGTGGACAAACTCCGAATGCGCACTCTATACACAGGACGGGTAAGCTGTAAGTATGTCCCTCCACATAGACATGTCCGTTAACCGACAAAGGGTATGGCCTTGAATGGTCGTGCTCTCATTCGGCCTTGAAAGGGATCGACTGACCACCAGTCTGCGTCAAAGGCAAGACACCTTACGAATCAGCTCAAGTCGGGGCCGCAAAACTCGACTCTCGGCCCCTTGACTCCTTCATTGTAAACACAGGTGAAGAAGAATAAAGAGGTATAGCGTATGTCAGTTATTACCAAGCTCGTCAGGTATTTTCTTGGTTCGACGAGGGAAATGGACAGTAGAATGGGCTCCTTCCCCAGAGCATATCGATTGCCATAGTCACACGCGAGGCGAGTGAAACACTCAAGCACCTGACTCTGCGAGTACCAGAGGGATTGCGATGGCAGCAATGAGTCCACTTGACCACTTTGACTCGGTGCCAGTTACTCTGACGGATCTCTCGAGACCGGATTTTACTGGAGGACACCACACTTACCGGTACAGACTGAGGCACCAGAACTGCAGCCCGAGGAAGTCAGTCCTTAGTCCACTACCTTTCCTTGACTCGTATCTTTAAGTGAGGCAAGACACCTGAGTGTAGCAGATTCATACTTCCAAGGTCTCTGTAATGGGGTCGTGTTGGTCTTCTCACTTGCCCTGGTATGTTTGACCACGAAGCTTTTCCATCCTCAACGTAGTCAGTGCAGGATACGAGGTCTACTCAGGGTCAGGTAGAGTCATCGATATTATGCAAGTCTCAAGGTTACTGTCAGTTGGTCCTCGGGAGGGATATAGGAAAAGAGAGAGATGAATGTCGTTCCCTTCAATGTTGAATCAAGATCACGTGAGGCTTGGCACGAGCAACGTGGCTGGTGGCGGTACCTAAGTCAATCCTAAGCAGATGCGACCACCTGGTGCCACCATACCATATGTGCTGTCAGGGTGGATGTACCTGGAGCCGACCTTTTGGTCAAGGATGACAGGGTTCATGAGAGAGCACTTATAAGTGAGTGAGAGATCCCCTTCAATGTTTGGCTCATGTTATGAGGCTCGACACACTGACTGGTACGTGCCGCTCCAAAGACTTTTCCTCCTTCTCTTCCTTTCTTCACACATTCGTTGACCCCCCCAAAGGTAGGAGTTTGAACTTCAATGACCTTGTGGAATCAATCGCGACTACAAATGGAATCCTCCACATTTCTCATCAAAGGCTGGAAGCTCCAAGAGATGCGCATAATTGGTCGGCTCTCAAGCGGCGGCAGCTTCTTCCGACAAACTCCCAGGCTCGGGGAGCGCTCCACCACTCACATGGCACCCTCTATTGTATCATGACGATCAGCCTGCATGGCATTTGCGGAAAGAACATTAGCACAGCAAACGAGAACCCTCGAACGATTAAGTAGGGCCTTTCCAGCGCATCCCGCACTCCAATCTCTACTCCAATCGCCCACGATCCATCCCGCTGCGGAGAACAGCTACTGGTATGGAGGGGACTGCCCGTCTGAGTAAGTGATCGTTGCTCACGGTTTGGATTGATTGATTGTTCGCAAGATACCCTGCGCAGGGCATTGCAGGTCTACCTGCGGCGCCCAGCATACAAAACTGACAACCTTGTCGCATCTTCCCTCGTCCCGTCTCTGTGTCATTACTTTGTTTCCCTTTTGCAGCCTTCCTGGTGGTTGCAGGAAGAGAGCTGTGGCTCTGGAGGTGCGCCATTTGAAGCACTTATACCACGCCTTGCGATAACTTGAACTGGTCATCGTCTTTCTCGTTCATTTCTAAATATGCCGACCACAATGTCTGCCTTCGTCCAATGGCTCAACCGCGAGTCGGGCCTTCAATCCATCTCCACCTACGGCAATACTGACATATACCTGATTCTGCTTACTCGCTTTCTTCGCATGTTTGCCTATGGTGGCGCCGCCCTTGTCCTGGCCATCTTCTTGTACACTCAAGCCGGGGTTGATTGGAAAAAGACGGGCACATTCATGACACTGACGTTGCTGGGCGATGCGGCGATCAGTTATGGGCTGACCATCGTGGCTGACAAGATTGGCAGAAGACGTGTGTTGCTCATAGGATCTCTGCTAATGAGTTTTGCCGGGACGGTGTTCGCACTGAGCAAGAATTACTATCTGCTTTTGTTTGCGGCTATTGTGGGTGTGATATCCCCAGGAGCACATGAAGTCGGACCATTTCGTGCTGTCGAAGTATGTATGAGATTCAGTGTCCCCAAACTGACTGCACACACAGCAAGCAAACAGAACTGGACCACTTTTCTAACCCTCTTTTCCTCATAGGAAGCAATCCTTGCCCAACTTTCCCCCCTCGAGGCTCGTACAGATATCTACGCCTGGTTTGCCGTGTCGTCCACTCTGGCAATGGCCTGCGGTCTATTTGTTACAGGATGGCTGACCTATGCCCAACGGACCTACATGGAGCGAGACTGGAAAGAGACATACCCTCCTGTTTTTGGTCTCTACGCAATGATTGGTCTGGTCAAGTTTTCCATCACATTCTTGTTAAGCAAGAACTGCGAAGCTAGCGCGGCTGCGCAATATTCTTGGGCTCCCACTACGACGACAAACGCTATAGATGAAGGCGGTAGTCCCTCGTCCGAGCAGACAAGGCCTCTCCTGGATGGCATGCCCCGTCGCTCTTCGGTCCCGAAGCAAGCAAATGTGAGAACCACGATCCGTACGACCCAGCCTTCTCCCCCCGACTCGTTCTCCCGCCGCCTCCGCGCCTCACTGAGCTCGCCCTGGAAAGTCTCCCGTTCCTCTCTGCCCATCCTTTTACGTCTCTGTTTCCTGTTCGGCCTGAACGCATTCGCCGCTGGCATGCTTCCCGTCACGGTGATGAGCTGGTATATGTCCTGGCGCAGCCGATGGTTCTTGACTCACCGGATTGGCTATGCGCTCAGCGTCGTGTGGCTCGCTGCAAGCTTTTCGAATTTGTTCAGCGCTGCCGTAGCCCGACGGTTGGGTCTCGTCAAAGCCATGGTCTGCACGCACCTGCCCAGCGCTCTGTTCTTGGCACTTGTCCCGCTCGGGCTCATAGCATCCGGTTGGCAGTTATTACTCATCCTCCTGCTCGCTGACGCGGTATTGGGATCCATGGATCAAGCTCCTCGCGAAGCGTTTGTCGCCGCCGCATTTCTACCTCGCGAACGGACCCAGGTCATGGGCACGTTGAACTTTGTGAGAACTTTGGCTGCGAGTCTGGGCCCGGTGGTCACAGGGCTCGTATGGAGTAAGCAGACGTGGTGGGTGCCATTTGAAATAGCGGCAGCTCTGAAGATCTGCTATGACGTGGGCCTGTTGATTATGCTGTTGAAGACCCCTCTCCCAGAGGAACACAGACGGGCGGTGGGTGGTTCGTTTGATGGCGAGAGCCAACATATGACAATGACTGCAGCCGACATGGACGTCAACGTTCTATTGGACGAGTTGGCCACCAGCAGCGGTGGAATGATTCCGCCGAGCGAGTTCGAAGTCAGCGACGACGAAGGAGAGGACGACAGGATGATGGTCACGGAAGTGCGGGAGGACGCTTCGGCGCTACCAAAATATGACGAATAGCAGCAATGTGTGTCTATGCTGAAATGGATATTTTGAATTGGGTCTGGGGAAGTGTGGTTAGGGTCGTGGCATGGCTGGCAGCGCATCACTGACTCTCTATTTCGGGGTTGAGGCTATGGGATGGATGTACCGGAGATACTGTTGATGGTATTTCAATATCGGTGGAAGGACTGACAGCAACCGATTTTCTCGGTCTAATACTCGGCGATATATATCAGTCGAGATGAGGAATACACATATCATGGTAGACTGAAGAGCAGTTGGTGAATCTTTCAAGGCAAAACAGGTAATTGTCTTCACGTCAGTGGCAAAGAGTAAACAGCATCAGTCGCATCTTCTCTACAAGCTTTTCGGCTTTGAGCGAGTAATGCTAGTAAAAGTATCGTGTCCCATACTCTTATTCTGCCCTCAGAAATCTGACTTTATGGAGACATGTAGAGCGCAAGGCTGCGGATCTGCAAGGCTGCAATGCCAAGCCTGCCATCGGCGAAATAAAGTCCGCGCTCCGACTTGTGGAAACAAAATTTTGTCCCAGCGCAAACGCATCAATTCACAGATACCCTGGGCATTGGTGTACGAGGGTGAACTCTGCAAAGCGCCAGCCATGTCCGTCCAAGTAAAAACCGGCCACACCACAAATTCGACCCCCGTGAAGGATGCCCAATCATCGAGCCCTCTCAAAAAGCGAAAACGCGACCCCGAAGGCATCGAGATCTCCAAAAAGAAGAAGCCGCGGACTGAGGATGTCGCGGAACATCCAGCAAGTGCAGTTGCTGAGATAGAACCTCCTGCGGAGCGGAAGGAGAAGAAAAAGAAGAAGAAGGGGGAGAAGGAGAAGAGCAAGAAATCCAAGAACGAGGGCGATGCCGCTGCACGGAGGGTAGGAGATGAAGAGGAAGCGTTGGTGGCGCGGGAATTGGGATCAGAAGATGAGGAAGCGGTTCAGGAAGACTTGCAGCAGACTGCAGAGGCAGAACCAGCCGTCGTGGATGGTTCAGATGCAGAGGTCGAGGAAGAAGCAGAACTCAAGCTGCTGGAATCAGAAGATCCCAGCTCCTTCTACTCTACCCGCCTCTCACTCTATCTCTCGATACCTGCCGTCTCACTCGAAGCTGCCAAGTCGTCGGTGCTTGCAGTGCACCTGGCACCTCTGCTTCTGACATACTTTCCTCCTGCGCAAGGCATCGTTCTCGGCTTCTCCGACGCCGTCTTATCCGCCCAACCTAACTCCGGCATCAACCTGCCTCTCCTACCTCCCCAAAACGGCGAGATCGAGGCACAATCCGATGTCCTTGCAAACACAGCCGACGAATTTGGTGTGTGTTGGGTCTGGCTCACCGCTACCTTTCTCGTATTTAGACCCGAAAGAGGCGACGAGCTATACGGATGGACGAATGTCACGTCGGAGGGTTTCGTGGGCCTGGTGAGCTACAACTACTTTCAGACGGCCATTGGCAAGAGCCGTATCCCTCCGGAATGGAAATGGAACGGGCCGAGCAGAGAACAGCTACAGAAGGCCAAGAAGAAGGGCAGAAAGGGCCGACTACGCGATGAGGACGGCTTGGAAAATGAGGAACACAACACACAGGAAACTGCCACCACGGTGGTGGTGGATTCATCTTCACATGCTCTACTGGCAGATGATGGCGGGTACTTTGCAGACGCCAGTGGGACGAAGATCAAGTCGACGCTGAAATTCCGCGTGGCGGACACAGAAATAGTTCCGGCGCATGACAGGCACAAGTGGTCCTTGCAGATTGACGGCACCCTCCTCGATGAAGAAGCTGAGCGGAAAGTCCTGGAGGAAGAACGGACAAAGTTTGAGCGGGCGCAGGAGAGCAGTCGATTCAAGTCACTGGGAGGAGACGACGCGGCCGCAGTGATGAGTGGAGCGTTGAGGCGATCGCTGAGCCGGGAAGGAAGTGTTGGCTCGAGGATTTCCGGACACACGCCGGCGCGGCATCGAGTGACTTATTAGAGCCCCTCTATAGTACCCAGCAAAAGTTGGACTTGTAGTAGAAGGACGTGGGGACTGTGTGCCAATGATTTGACGAGCTGTACCTGAAGATTTCTATATTTGTGTGATACTTGATACCATGTACAGGGCTTTAACAATCGCCTCACGATGATTGGCCGAGCATGTGTCTTGGGATCCTCGGGGCATCAGCGGGGCGAATGGAGTGACGCAATGCACTTTTTGGGCTCTTACAGCGCGCAATGAGCAAAGCACGCAAGCACCAAGTCAAGTCAATGGAATGTCCCCGCAGGCACGCAGAAGAGACGCTGCGCTCACCATTTCGAAACAATGGCCGCATCATCATCCACGTGTAAAGCGACGAGTCTGGTATTCCTTCGCTCTCTCTCCTGGCCATTGTTGACCTCTGACCACCCACGGTCTCTCCCCAGGTCACCTCTCTCTATCAGCGACCCGGACTTTCACACTTGATGTTTAGCCGATCCACTGCCCGCTGCTTCTCCGTGTCTCCTGGCTCATTTAGACCTCTCTTATCTCCAACTGTTTCCTTGTCTGCTGGCCCCCGACCTGGCCGACCCCTCACCTCTACCAGACCGTCACTACTTGCCAAAACCTTCTCGAGCAACACCTCCAGGATGGCGCAGGAATTCAAACTCAAGGATCTCGATAAGCTTGACTTGCAGGATCTTGAGAAGAGGGAAGTCGAAGTCGAAGGCATCGAAGGCGGCAAAGTCCTCCTGTGTAAAGTTGGTGGTCAGGTACACGCAGTGAATGCCAACTGCACACATTATGGGGCGCCATTGAAGTTGGGTGTCTTGACGCCCGAGGGACGACTGACATGTCCCTGGCACGGAGGTATGCGACATCACTACTTATTGAGGCGTTACGATCCTAATCTGGAGTACAGCCTGCTTCAATGCGCGCACCGGTGACGTCGAAGACGCCCCTGCTCCGCTGTCGCTGAACGCTTTCGATCTTGTTGAGAAGGACGGTGGAGTGTATGTCAAGGGAAAAGAGGCAGACATCAAAGGTGGAAAGAGAACAGTCAATATCAAGACCACGCCCTCTTCTCAAGACAAACTAGTCATCGTCGGAGGGTATGTTCCGTTGTCGATTCAATTTTCCCTGTTGGGAGCAGCTCGCTCACTTCTGGTATAGCGGATCAGGCACATTCGGCGCCCTTCTCAAACTGCGTGAACACGGCTACAAAGGCCACATCACGGTCGTCACCGATGAAGGCTACCCGATCGACCGGACGAAACTCTCCAAGGCCCTGATCACCGACGAGTCGAAGCTCTATCTACAGCCCGAACAGTGGTACTCGGAAGGCTCGATAGAATTCGTTCCGGATACAGTCACGGCTGTTGATTTTGATGGCAAAACCGTCCAAACCAAGGCCGGGAAATCTCTCCCATACACCAAACTCATCCTTGCCACCGGCGGCACACCACGTCAACTACCCCTCCCCGGCTTCAAGAACAACGAGTTAAGCAACATCTTCCTGCTGCGGAAAGTCAGCGACGTGCAAAGTATCATGAAGGCCGTGGGCGACAAGGGTAAGAAGATTGTCATTGTCGGCACCAGCTTTATTGGGATGGAAGTTGCAAATGCGCTCGCCAAAGAAAACACGGTAAGCCTTGTGGGAATGGAATCCGCACCACTCGAACGGGTCATGGGTACCGAGGTGGGCAAGATATTCCAGCGCAGTCTCGAAAAGAATGGCGCCAAGTTCTACCTGAATGCCGGCGTCGACTCGGCTTTACCATCACCCAAGGTCGCCAGCTCCGTGGGTGCGGTGAAGCTGAAAGACGGCACCGAACTAGAAGCGGATCTCGTAATCTTGGGAATCGGCGTGTTCCCCGAAACCACGTACCTCCGCAACAACCCCAGAGTACAACTGGAGAAAGATGGCAGTATTTCCGTCGATGAGAGCTTTGCGGTCAAGGGACTGCAAAACGTTTGGGCCATCGGTGATATCGCGACGTACCCCTACCACGGACCCGGAGGAAATGGCAGCCCCGTGCGCATTGAACACTGGAACGTCGCGCAGAACCAGGGTCGCACTGTGGGACAGCTGATCGCTCAACCAGGCAGCAAACCGAAACCGTTCATTCCCATCTTCTGGTCGGCGCTCGGTAGTCAGCTGAGGTACTGTGGTTCGACGGCGAACGGGTGGGACGAGTTGGTGCTGAAGGGCGAGCCCGAGAACAGCAAGTTTGCGGCATACTATTGCAAGGGCGACACGGTGGTGGCCATGGCCAGCATGATGATGGATCCGATCATGGTCAAGTCGGCCGAGCTGATGAGACACGGCAAGATGTTGAGCAAGAGCGATATCCAAGGCGGCCAGGACGTGTTGCAGGCGGCTCTGTAATGATATGCATTTCTAAACGAGTTGAATACATGAAATGAATCAGCATACTGTGTCCATGAACAACAATAGGTGTGTTACTAGATGTGCCTGGCCTGTGACAAAAAGGCCACGGAGTCCTCTGACTATTCCCAGGCCTCGTCACCGCGCCGCTATCTGAAAAGTCCACATGCCTGCACCGGTGGTCATATACCTATCACGATGGGCCACGAGCTCTGTGGCTGAGTTTGACAACGTGCACGAAAAGAGTCTGAAGTCAAGCGGCGCGCCCCGCCCCCCTCCCCCCCGGGCGCCCCAACTCCATGTAAACATGCAGATCAACTTGATCGTGCGGGACGACTTGGCCGTGGAGATTGCCGGTTTTATAATAGCGCGAGGCGGAACCGCTAGAACGAGAGCGTCCGCCTTCATCAAACCTTGTCGAGTGTTATTGTAGACGCCCATGGGACAGGCGGGATCCGTTCGAGTCAACGAACACATGCTTCTCCCCTGTGTTCGAGTCCCCGCCGTCTCCATGGGCTACACGGCGTTACTCTCGCTGTTGGCAGTGTGGAATACCGCCTGATGAAAACGGGCCGAGATTCCCTGACTGTCTGTAGGGGGGCAAGCGGACGTCCTGATCATCATCATCATCATCACCATTGATCTTCCAGCTTTCTACACTGTCACGCTTGCACGTCTCCAGAGTTTCCAGTCCGAAGTCATCATCAAGAAGGCATCCAGGAGATGGATGATTGGCTTATTTATGAGACGTGTCACTGGGCCAAGTCGAAAGGGCAAGCCAATTGCTTGGCATAATCCTCGTTTTGGTGGGACTATGCACTTGTGAGACGTGAGACGATCCTCCTGACTCTATGTGCTTTGACCGTACCAGGCATGTTGGGTAATCTCAGAGTACCTTTCAAAGCCATGACATCGTCATCTCGGTAGAGATGCTTGCGAAACTGAGCAACATTGGTGACGTCCTGGCTGTCTCGAAGCGCGGTTGTTGTCCTGCATGTAGTGTTGTGGTGAGTGCGATCCGGAAGCTCATGCATAAGAAGCTGGCGTATCCGTAGGTGAGTGACTCTACTTGTCACCAACTATGTAGCTGGCGAGCTCCTGACCATTCAGAGAGCACCACCGCGGGCGCGCCGTGCTCCTGGTCGTGAGCGGCGTGGTCGTACTCGCCACACAGTAGGAACACCGGCTTCGTGCCCTGGTGAATCTTGTGTCCGTTGCGCTTGAGATCCTGCCCGCGCGCAAAATAGTCGTTGTCGCCGGCATAGACGCCCGGGTAGTTGCTGGCATATATCCATTGCACTTCGTGGACGTTGGCCTCCGGGGCTATCGGGCCCGACGCGCCGATCATGTTGGCCGAGAAGAGGTGGGGCGAGATGGACGGCGTGCGAAAAGAGGTCGTCGGAGAAGCTGGCCAGGGCCGGGGGGCACGTCGTACCATCCGTTGAGTGAGATGAAGGCGCCGAAGCGGTCGTGGTGCTCCGCGGCGAGGTCGAGCGCCAACTGACCGCCGACGGAACAGCCCATGAAGAATGGCTGCTCTAGTTCCAGGGCGTCTGAGAACGCCACCACCCAGTTCATCAGGTACTCCAGGTCCGGGCTGTAAATCTTCTCCCACCAGCGGTCACCGGAAGGGGGCAACGATCTGCCGTGGTACGGCAAGTCGTAGGCGATGATGCGGAAGCGTTTCTGTACTTCAGGATCCGCGAGGAGATAGCGATACTGGCGACTGTCGGCACCGGCGGTCGCTTGACAAAGTAGCGCAGTCGTCCCGGTCCCAGCCTCCTCGTAGTACATGCGCGCCTCCTGGCCGTGGGCCTTGACCCACACGTAGCGACCGACGGCATTGTCGCTGTCGCGGAATGTTTCGACAAATGGCCGACGGTTCAGGGGCCGGACAGCCTGTACAAAGACGAAGAACAGCCTCTGGAGTGCCAAAGAGTGAGGCGCGATGACCCCGATGAAGTCGCCGGTCGTCGTCAGGCCCGTGGTCTGGCCCATGGTGAGACTCTCATAGCCGGGCCACGGTCTCCCGCTTTCCTGAAGCTGAAATGCCGTGGACCAGAAATCATCGCTTGCCGCGAGCGTCACGGCTGCCTCTCCCTGGGATTGTCGGACCTCGCTCACGCCAGACCCGGCGAAGACGAAGTCGACGGCTTCATGGCTGCTTTGGAAGCGAATGACTGCCTTCAGACCTCTGGCATCGGACTTGGCCTTGGACAGTTTCTCGATGGAAGGAAACGTGGCCATGGTAAAAGGACGTGTGGCTACCTGCAACGATTTATCCCTCACCCTCATGGATATAAAGACTATATATCTCGTCATGGTAAACTTTTCAAATCCCATACCCACAGAAACGTGAGTGGGAGCCGTGCTGATTCGATTCCACAGGCTAGCATGAGTGCCGAGTACATCCTTCGCAAAACGCGGTTCGGGCTTGATGTCGTGGCCATCTTGGAGTCAAGTAACGCTGGGCGCTGAAGCGTTTCTTATCTCCGCATTCGGCTAGGCGGGAATGAATCAGTGCCATTGACGTTGAGTCAAGAGTCAAGTCAAGACTGACAGATTGGGCTTAGGGCACTCACGCTAACTCCTTTGGGCCAACAAGCCCGGACTCGTGACTTGGCAAAGCAATTAGCTGCCAACGTCTGTGGGATCTGAACCTGCCCAATGTGGCAGAGGGTGCCGGGAAAATAGCCACTCTTGCGTTTCGAATAGGCTCGGCCTCGATTGCCGCTCTTGCGAAGGCTGGTGGCAAACTGGCAGAAAATACAAGGCCTCGACCGTGAAGATCAACTGTACAAAGACCCTACCTTCAACTCGAGTTTCCATGCCAGTGATATAGGGTGCCTCACGAGGAAAAGAGAGAGAGAGAAAAACGCGCGCGGGAATCTCATCGACTGATTCGTAGCGATGCAGAGGCTCCCTACTCGATACACTGCCTGGCTTGTACTTGCATGTTGAGATTCTTCCAGTTCAGCCTTTTCCAAGGTAGTGCGGATGATAGCATCAATAGAACCACACGAGGGTTATTTCAAGGATAAGAAATACAAGTGTAACGACAGCGCATATGCGATATTTTTTTATTTCACAACTCCGACCCGCATGTAGTCAAAATGCCGATTTTGGTCTACTCCAGGCAATATATTGCCCTTATTCAATCCGCATCACATTCCGATTGTCGTCGACGCCCGTGCCTTGCACCACCGAGCCACTGACGAACCCGTAGAACGGCAACTCGGCAAAGTGATCGACATAACCATGCCACGTAGGAAGGTTGAGCTCGTCGCCTCTGAAATAGGTCGCCGAGCCTCCAGTAGCAATCTCCGTCTTCGTGACCTTCGTCTTCACCCCGCTACCACCGCCCTGAAATGGGGTATACACTGGGTACTGAACATCGGCAACGCCGGGCTGTCCCACCGCGCCCACGTACCGCTCATACATAATGCCCGTCTCTGGTGGAAGTTTTGGGATCACGGAGCCGGACGTTGCCTGTTGTTCTGGGCCTTTGGAGGCCGCAGGGGCGGCGAGACCATCGAGACCAATTTCCACAAATGTCTTGCCTCTCCAGGAGAAGGTGAGGAGGGCTTTGTCGTCGATCTTTCTGAAATCAATTTCGACGTACAACTTGGCCATTCCAGAGTCATCGTGACCGCCAAGAATAGCGTCCGTCTGATCCTCGATCAAGGACGGTGCGTGAGGTACGGAATCGTATCGTATAGCGAGCCCAGGCGACATGGTCCTGTGGCCTCCGTATCTTGCTCTTGCCCGAGGCGTGTTGACGCAGGGAGGGATAGAGGCCCAGTTGGATGGGTTGACGTAGCCAGTTCTTGCGATTGTGCTGGATGAAATATCTTTGGGCAGCTTGCTTGGCTGAGTCCCACGCATCGTGTCCTAACAGGGTGCGTTGGAAACTTTTTGCCGGAATTAGTCGCATTCTTCACGATGGGTCAGCATACTCACCTTTCGTATTCGGTCTCCTGCCCAATAGTTGGTACCGTATTTATTGCTCGGAGGCGATGCTCAATGTGCTGTACTTGTTCAACGCGCTTCCGTCGAAGTTCTTCGATGAATTGGAGTGCAAAAGGCACCGCATCCGGCGACGTCGCGGCCGGCATAATGGCAGCGAGAGCCGCAGCGTCTTCAAGGGCTTGGCTTGGACCATGGATCCTTGATGTACCCAAGGGGTGTGCAGCGTCGCCGATGAGAATCGATCTTCCGTGACTCCATCGGAATGGGGCCGAAGTCTCATAGTGATTCCACGCGCGAAAAGTCGATTCTTCGGCCAGAGATATAATGTCTTTGGCGCTTGAGTCGAAGTGCTCGAACAGATCGAGCAACTGCTCCTTTGCCGCCGCAAAGCTCGAGTCTGCAATCACATCAGTTACAAAACGACCTTCAGTGAAATATGTGCAGCCTGGGTCTCGTGGTTCTAGAGACAGCCTGCCGGTGAAGGGGTGCAACTCACCGCGATTTGGTGGCAAGCTTGGACAAGTCGCAATGACATTCACTACGGCCTCATTCGAAAGCGGGAACTGTACACCACAATCAGCCACGACTCGGTCTTTGAAAGCATTGTCGTACGAGATACAGCCGCCGTCCCTTGCCAACCCAGGAAACCCCCTGGCCCTGCGCATGGACATATCTCGCCAAGTTCGGATTCGCAGACAACAGCTTCTTGCTCCAAAGCTCCATTTTGTTGCTGAATCGTTGCAAAAAGTCCCCAATTCGCCCAAGCCAGTTGGGACTCGGCTTGCTTGGAAAATATCAGAACCCGAAAACGTCAGGAAACGGGTATAGTCAGCGCAGGAAATATTCCAGTCTCGTCGAATGTTTCGTCATTAACTATTCGAGGGACAGATTTTTGGGAGACTACGAAGCAAAGGCAGGCCCCGTCAATTCGTGCACCATGGTTGGGGCTGTAGTACTTGATGGCACACTTGTGACGCGGGCCAACGGGTCGGCGTCATGTCCTAGATCCTCGAGGGTCGCGTTCATTCCATCCACAGACGAATCCCCGCCCTCTGGCAAAGATCCGCCCGTGACTTGTGACAAATTCTGCCGCACCGTTCGTGCAAAGGCAGACGGATTCTCGCACCTTGCCCGCAATGTGGTGTTTTCGTGCTTGAGAGCCTTTATTTCCTCTTTTTGCGCCACGATAGAGCTCTGACCACCGCCATGATGATGCTCTTTGCATTGCGCAACCTGTTCTTCCAGCTCCTTGACGTGAAGATCTCGTCTCTCGCGCAACTTTTGTTGAGCGCGTCGATCTCGCTGGCGCCTTTTCTCCACGGCTGTCAAATCTATTGACCCGGACTCATGTTGCTGGAAAGTGGTGAACACGTTCCCCAAGGACAGCGGTTGCAATTGCACAAACAATTCCAAGAGACGCAGTGCAAGGTCCGACAGCAGTAGAAGTAAGTACGTCCTCATGCTGATTGAACGCCTCCATTGTGTTGACGGCACCAGCAGGAGTAAAAACGGCCAGCAATTTCTGTAAACGATACTGCTGGGCAAATTGGGATACTGGAATGTATGCGGCAGAGTCTTTCAGAACATTGACCAAGGCTGGGGTCTTTGAATCCTGCAGCGCGTTGAACGACTGTCCGAAACAGAAATGACCCAGTGCATCGACGGTGAAGCGGTTGACCCAGGTGATGATATCCTCAGGTGCCTTCCCGGCGCGCTCTCGAAGTTTCAAGCTGAGAATGTCAAGGTATGAGTTGAGTAGAGGAGACTGATCACGCCGTGCGCGCTCCGAGAACGCAGGCAAGAGGGCTTGTCTGATCCGTCGGTGCCTGGGTGTATCTGAGACTGTCATGGGCCATTCCTTAGGGTTTGGGTCTTGCGGAATGCCAAATCCTCGGTGCAAGTCCTTCAGGTACTCGTGGGTACCGGTGCCAAAATAAATTTCCTTCCATGCAGCCCCCGAGTTGTACGACAGTTGATTGGGACCAATTCGAACAATAGGACCATATTTCTGATGAAGCTCGTGGATTTTAAACGGCAAACATAGACGGAGGTTGTAGTAATTCCAGGGAATATTGCTGATTGCCCACAATTTTGGCCCCGGGTATTATCGACGAAGAGGGTGGAAGAAGAGGTTGTAGAATACAACTCCCACCAAACTCACAAGGACCTGTTCGGGAGTCAGTAATCGAGACGTCAGATATGCTCACGGCGACGAGACTTACTAGTGTAAAGGCCACTTCGCTGAGGAAGAACGTAGAAGGAGCCATACTTTTTTTTCACCCGTGAGAACGGAATAGAAAAGGCCAAAGTTCGCGATGTTTCGAAAAGATACGAATCGCGCCTTTGCAGACTGCAGATACTCAACAGTGGTCGGCCCATATTTAATCTCAGCGTATTATACTCTGGCAGGACCTGTTGTCCAAAAAGGCGGAACCTTTTCTGCCCCCGCCATGCTCAGCCAAGAATCAGGTCATCCAACCCACGACTTTGTAATGGAGCTGACTCTTACCATTAATGGAAGTGAGGTGAAGAGGAACTGACTCAGTCCTCCGAGTCTCGAAGAGGTAACAGACAATTTACAGTCATTTCGCGACCTTTCGCACCTTTCTCCATGCACTTTTGTCGAATGATCTCCTCTGTGGAAGTCTGAATCGCGTGGAGACCGGGGTGCTGACCGACCTAACTGGGTCCCGTATAGCACAGTGCACAGCGTAAATATCAGGTAACGTGGGCACATAGTATTCGCTACCGAAATAGGGAATAAATGCCAAGGCGCTAAGGGACTATAGCGCATTTCTCCACCTCGACGTTGGGGCTCCCAAAGCGAGTCATTACATCCACTTCCGCTTTTGGGTTAGTTAAGTCTCCTCCTAAATCCGAGTTGCTGTTACCTTACGCGGACTTCCTGCAATCTGTGGCAAATTCACCATGAGCGCAGTGAAATCATGTTGGTTGCTAGCTGGAGCGAGACTCATGCGTCCGCTGGAAGAAGCTGGTCATTCAGCCAGGATGTTTAACGCCGATGTTGTTGGCGGAAGATAAGTTTGACAATCAATATTCCACCGCCAGGTTGTCGTTGTCGAGTCTAGAAGTACTCTACGTTTCACGATTCTAACTCTGTTATTGTAACTGCTTTCATACCTGAAGCACCAGCTTGAAGTAACAGCGTCCACAGCCATCATGGGTTCCATACCCGCTTTCGAGACAAGACTGTTCATTAATGGGCAGGTAAGAATCGCACACGCTATTGCCTGACCCATTTCCGTACTTACGAGTCGGCGAGTAGTATGTCAACTCCAAGTCAGCTACGCGCATGTCGTGCTACACGCCTACGGACAAGGCACCTGTTACAGAGGAGCTCCATGTGGCAGAGAAAGATGACGTGGACGACGCCGTTCAATGTTGCGAGAGCTGCGTTCAAACTCTGGAAGGAGACTTCTGCTACCCGGGCTGCGCTCCTGCTCCGAATCGCAGATCGCATCGAAGCCCATGCGAAAGAGTTTGCACGCCTCGAAGCAATGTGTACACGGAAGCCAGTAGCGCAGTCACTGGGATTTGAGGTGCCCATGGTCGCAAATGTCTTCCGGTGTGAGTAGTCCCGAACATGAGATTGGACATAACCCAAGAATTGACACGCCCCCTTTAAGATTACACTGGCTGGTGTGACAAGCTCTCTGGCGAAGCGTGGCCGCAGGAAGGCACCGGCTTCCTCAGAATGACCAGGCGAGAGCCATTAGGCGTGTGTGCTGCCGTGAATGCTTTCAACGGACCACTTGTGATGATTGCCATGAAAGGTGCCCCTTGTCTTGCAGCTGGTAACACCATGATTGTGAATCCAGCGAAAAGACGCCACTCACCACCGTCTACTTTGGCAAGATCTTACAAGAGGCCGGGGCACCAGACGGAATCATGAACCTGATTACTGGCCCCGGCTCAATTGGAGCTCTATTGGCTTCACATGTAGGCATTGACAAGATCTCCCTTACCGGAAGTTCGGCAACTGGGAAGAGGATCGCACAGATGGCTTCGACCAGTAACACGAAGAAAGTCACGCTGGAACTGGGAGGCAAGAGTCTGAGTATTATATTCGACGACGCACAATTGGATAATGCTGCCCAGTGGTGCATGCAAGGTATTCTCGGCAACAGTGGTCAAGCCTGTATTGCAAGCTCCCGTGTGTACGTCCAAAAGGGTGTCAAGGAAGTTTTCGTCGCCAAACTTAAAGCCCTGATCGAACAGATGACGCCTGCCTTTGGGCAAGATGCTAATACTGACGATACACGCTTTCCCCCATTGGCAGATAAGGCCCAGTTGCACCGAGTGCAGTCATACATGGACATCGGGTCCCGCGAGGGCACGCTCGTGACAGGAGGCAAACCAATATAAGACAAGGTAAGTTCCACCTTCAATCGTCCTCAACAACGGGCGCCGTGGCTCATCAAACTGTTCAAAGGGCTGTTGGATTGAACCGACCATCTTCGTCGACACGAAGGCATCTGCAAGGATATACAAAGAGGAGATATTCGGTCCTGTGGTGGTGGTGAACGAGTTTGAAGAGGAAGAGGACGTGCTGAACCGTGCCAATGATACCGAGTTCGGTCTGGCGGGTGCTGTTTTTACACAGGACGTCAACAGAGCGATGCGCATTGCTGCAAAAGTGGAGGGCAGGCACAGTCTGCATCAACTGTTGCACTATGGTTGACGTGACTGTACCCTTTGGTGGTATGAAGCAGAGCGGCTGGGGCAGGGAGTTGGGAAAGGTACTTTATCTATCACGTCTCTCCAATCTGTATCTTCATTGGCTTTACTGTGTGTGTGACGCGGTGAACAACTCACTGACTGACGGGCGTCTTCCAGATGGGCATCGAGGCTTATACCGACGTCATGACCATATTTCTCAAGTGTTCCGTGCTGACCGGTGTGCGTGAAAATGATAATAGACATTGTATTCCCAGCATGACATATTGATGTCGAAGATCCATGTTGCATTTTAGTTGCCAACACTTGAGGCTGTGCTTGAAATGAATGGGCATTACAATTGTGGCTGAAGAGCAACCAAGCTGCATTTTTTTGAAAGAGATAGACAGCGTCAGAGTGCCCAAGGCTTGCGGGGATATCAGCAGCAGAGAGGTCACCTTGAAGGAGAGAACGCGGACGTGAATGAGAAGTTGGAGCTTCAAGTGGGCCACTGGGCCGTACTCGGTACAAAGTGTTGAGTTATTATTCCGTATCTATCAGAAAATAAATGATTCAGCGCCCACGTGGCACATGCGACGAATGCCCCAGCTATGTGACTCGGGAGAGGGATGCAACAGCTCGCTATGCACCATGTATATCTCGGGGCCATGCACATTTATCTCCATCATTCGGTTCGGTGGCTCTGTTCTTCCGATGCCGACAGCGTCCAGTCCGTCATCTCATAAACACAGAGCTGCAACAACCGGAATTCAGCTTTCTCATTTCCATTGAAGACAGTTGCCAGCATGGCCGTAAGCGGAGCACAACACGTAGCCGTCACGGAAGGTCTCGCTCAGCCGACCAGCGAGGCCAAGGTGCCGAAACAACAGACATACGTAGCAAAGCGCGATCCCGCGTCCGTCTTTCGATCCTGCGCTGGGCAATCACAGCATCACGAACACCCTGACCGAAGAGCTCAGCCTTGATGTCATCCGCGCTGGCTGTGACAATGCTTGGTAGCGAGCGATTAGCCTAACCAGCCTGTGGCAAAAGACCCACCAGTCCCTCTCCTCTGTCGGAGCAATTGAACGTGGTAATTAGCTAGTTTGAAATTTTTCTGGCTATCGTACCCCTGTCTTCTATTATGTACTCCTGTCTACCGGGTATTTAGACCTTTGAGTAGAAGACAAGGATGACCCTGCAAGGCCGGCATGCATGGCAGTTTGAATAGGAGTTCAATCTCCCTGGCCCGGCATGCCCGGCCCAGCCCTTTCCAAGCCAAGAATGTTGGCGCACAAGCCGTTTCAAACCTTGTTCGACCCGTCGACCCGCTCCCGGTGAAACAACGGGGGATTTGCATGCCGAGGTTCCCCTTACCCACATACCTTGTAACTGGTGGTCGTGACAGGAGTTCGTTGTTACTACTCGTAGCTCAAAAAGCTTGATCAGGCCCAACCTCCTTGCACCATAAACTGGTAGAAATCGGGAATCCAACGTGGGTGGCTTGAGGTAAAGGAAGTTGGATGACATGGGGTTCGTACAGGTAGGAACATTTTGATATATATATATTTCAGGCACAAGTCGTCCTTGACCACTCTTTAGCTAACTAATAACTCACTGTTTTGCTCTCCCGCTAACGTTTATTTAGTCGACTCGCTCCCTCGTCCGCTTCCCCCCCGCGCCTCCCTTCGTCTCTTTCCGGCTCCCCTTCCACTCTCTTCTGCTCCCCGTCGCCTTCTGCCTGCTCTTACCGCCCTCCCCTCACCTCCCTCCCTGCTCCCCTTATCCCTTATACGCCGGCAAAGCTCCCGGTTTTAGCTTGAATCTTACCCGCGCCTACGTCGCACTCATCTAGCCTATAGAAGCCCCGGCTTACGTCGCATATAATGCCCTCCCAAAGGGAATTTTTTCTCCCATTTAATCACAAATGCTTTAGTATATTATAGAATTAGACCCTCTCGCTACTTTTCGCCACTTGCGATCCTCCTCATGTCAGCTGATGCAGTCGCCCTCCCTCTCTCAGCATTCCTAAACTTTCACTTGACTGCTCAACAAATCGACACTCGAGTCAGGACCTCACTCCATACTAAGATCGACCAGCTGTAAAGCTTCTGCAGGTCCGTCCTACCGGCTGAGACCTTCAAATCAAACACCTGCTTGGATAGAGTCATCACAAAAAAGCGCGGCGGACTAGACCCCGTTGACCCCAGCTATGACGAGAGCCCAGATTAGCCAGGTAGTTCTGCAAAGGCTGCAGGGTAAGCTTCACCTCCGACTTCCGGATCCTGCACAACTCCCGCAGCCAGGGCAGATGGTGGTGATCACATTCCGATTTCCAATGGACCTGAGATTAGTATGTGATCGACGCCCGCGTGCACTAGGCGGCGAGGCGGGCAGCTGTCAGAGAAGTAACTGCAGTACCATGGAAATATCTTCTCATTGAGGTTCCGGGATTGTCAACCAGTAATGACAAAGGTTCCGATGTATGCTCGGTAAATGCGAAGCCGTTCGAGCAATGCATTTTTTTTTCTCGTCTATTTTGCAATGTCTCCATATAGCAAGTCTCCCTTATTGTTCCAGTTGATTTGAAGGCATTCTGGTGGTATCGACGTTGACAATTGATCGGTGATATATTTTGGGATGAAAACTGGCCACTTGCTTGTGGATTACGTTTGTTACTAACAAGTTTCAAGAATCGACCAACGCCTTTTCACGCTCCTTTGGGACCTCGTAGTTCTTAAAAATAGCTCATTACAACGGCTCTGAGGAGATCCGGTATGAATTCCTCAAGCTCTCCAAGCTCTTGCGCCCATTCGGAAAACACGTCATGCGAGAGCTTGCTGACCTCTTCATCTGTCCAGGTTCGGCCAGTGCGGGTATACGGTATCTTGCTTTTGGTGCCTCTCTCGGTAATTTCGCAGTAGGTCGTAGCCTGGTAAGGTGGAGTGTCTAGTAGGGATTGTGAGTGACACGAATATAACCCAATGTCCTTGTGACTGATGGGATCTTACCTCCGAGCCCTTCAAGGTTCGTGGCCCATCTTCCTCTCTCGTGCAGCCTTGTGGAGAAGTAATAGGACACAGACTCCTGTAGGAATTCGGCTTCAAATGGCAGGTCCCAGGCTTGTATATAGAAGCTATTTCCTCTCCACACCAGCTCGCATATAGTCAGGGCGGCTTTAGCGCCGAATATTTCCGGAGGCACTCTGATCGTCGACAGGAGCTCTGAACCGCAGCCTTTGTTACTCTCTTTTTGGACTTGTCTCCAAGCAAATGGGTACCATGTAGAGGGGAACTCTCCTAGGATTCATGGTCAGTCTATTAAGTTATGTCTTGAGCTTCTCAGAGTATGTCGACGTACCGTGTTCCGGTCCATGTTCCCATGGAGCCATCGAATATCTGGTCGTGACTCTATCAAGGAATCCATGTAACTTATCCCTAGTTGTTGAGTTTTTCCAAAGTATGCGGCCGCTAACAAGGGTCAGTGTTAGCATCGCCGCAGGCATTGACTGTACAGATGACGCATCGCTTCGTGCCATATACTGAAAACTGATCGAGAGCCTAATCACTGACCTAATAAAGTAGCCATCGAGCTCCCAGCCATGCACGGCCCCGTGGTCTCTTAGGTGTCGGTAGACCTTTTCTCTTTCGTCTTGTCTTACTGAACGATCAAAGGTGCTCATTGCCAATACATCTTCGTGTCTGGTCGAAGATTCATGCATCGAGGCACCAAACTCTGGTATCGTGTTGGCAAACCTTGAGCAGTCAAGCATTGTGAGCAGAACAGCGCCTTCCTGTATCTCGTTGCGAAGGTGCGTGTAGTTGTAGGGAAATCTTTTTCCGGGATGCTTAATCACTACGTGCTCTTCCATAAGCCGAAGGATCTCGAGGTTGGCGCCCGATGCCACCCTGTGAAGAACTGGAAGCTTGCCACGATGACCTTGAGTCAAATTTTCCATTTCTGGGTATGTATCAAGCAGTAAGCGGAAGAGTTCTAACTGTTCAACTGCCTTGGCTGCGACGACAATTGCGGTTAGCACTATCGCTCAAACGCAGCTAATGTGTAAGTCACTTACATCCATCAGACACACTGGAAGCAATCATGAAGAGATTCACTCCACAAGGCATCATCAATCTCGGCTTTGGTTTCAGAGAAAGAAGGTAGCGGATCTGTGCAAGCCTATCGTATCCGGAATAAGATGTCCACACGAGCAGCGATCCCACCAGAGTGCTGGTATTCGGAGGCAGCACCTGAGTATTGTCGTGATGCAAGCTGTACTTGACTCGTAGAGTTTCGGCAATGCGAATATCTTCCGAAGTGCCCGCAACAAGAAGAGTGTCGAAAGTACCGGAGAGGTCAAATTGTGGCATTTGAAGAATCTCCTTCACAGTCTTTCCGTCCCGTTTTGCAGCTGGCAGGCTCTCGAGATGTTTCAATGCGACCGGGAGCATGTCCGGGATCTCTCTGGTCAACCAAGTCAAAACTGTGGCACCTATTCCTACACGTTGCAATAGGTCCGCCCCATAGCGGATGAGAACGTCCACAGCTCGGTAGTTGTGCCTTAAAACCGCTTCATGAAGCAAAGGGATGGGAGGGTGATGCTGTCCGTGTTGCACCGGCATCTCCAATGGCACTTTTGGATCAATCGTAAGAAGTGACTCCATGAGGTCTGATCGATCGATCTGAAAAGCATAAACCACGGGTTCAACCACCGGCGCCATCCACAAGAGGTTCGAACGCTCTGCATAGACAATTTTCTTCAGAATTCGCGCCAAATTGTCTCGAAACTTTCTTCCTGTCTCGAACATGGCGGCAAATGTCGTTTGCGAGCGCATCAGTTGAAAGCCCAGTTCCTCGCGACTGGCCACTTTGTAACCGTTATGGCAATCTCGGTCCTCAGAGGGGATGACTGATATCATATGCTCGAGGAGATCGAAGTCCAAATTGACAACGCATAGCGACAGAGGTGTGACTGGAAAGTCAAACCCTTCGAGCTTGGTGGCCATGACAGTCAGGGGGTTAGCTCCGTTTTGCAAGAGAAATTCTATGGCGGCGCCACTGGAGAAGTCAAATGCAAGCATTGCCGCGAGCAGAGGCGTGATCCCCGTATCCGATTCGGCGTTGACGTCAACCCCGACCGCTAAGGCTTGACAGCCGATTCCTTCCACCGCGTCTTTGGTCTCGAATTGCGTTAGCAAGTGAAGGATAGTAAGACCTTGGACCGAGTCGGTGCAGGTCACGTCAGCGCCTCGACTGATGAGAAATACGGCCATGTCAATAAAGCCCAGATAGCACGCCAGCCATAGCGGCGTGCAACCAGGTGTTAACCCACAGGCTTCGATATCTGCGCCCAAGATTTCAAGCAGTAGGGAAGCCATCTCTATGTCTTCTCGAAGGGTTGCTAGCTGCAGAAGCGTCATTCCAAGCGCGGTCGGCTCGTTAACCATGTCATTACCCAGACATATATCAACGAAAACCTCTCGTTCGTTTTGGCTCATGGTGTCGAGATGAACGTGGGAGTTGTATATGTATTCTGCAAGTATTGATTCCGAGAGCCGGGGATCGCCCGGTAGTGGCCAGTCCACTTCATGTGAGATAAGGCGAGTGATAGGAATCACGGCCAAGAGCTGACGGAAAGTCTGGGAACGGGTGAATGCAGCGAAATCATGTGGAAACTCTCTTTTCCACGTGCGAAGTCCAATGAGCTTGGCTTGAATGTTGAACTTTTCATCGAAGGGAAACTGCGCTGCTGCCGTCATTCTGGTTGTCGGATTGAAGGACAGAGGAAAGAAAAGTGACTTGATGTCGGACATAGCCTGGAGTTGGAACGCGTGGTCTTGGAATCCGTTCAAGACCCGTCGCCGCGTGTCGTGAGTAACCTCGCGACCCATTGCCTGTAGAACATTGATTGCCCCTAACAAGGCCAGCTGGTCGCCTGAGGATACCGCGAAACTGAGGTATTTCTCAGCCTCATCCTGCACCTGGTCATGCTCACATATCAGGTGCCCGTTCAAGACGAGAGCAGCAAGTTGTAGAGCGCACTGCCCTGCATCTCTGGTGCGATATTCGACTCTCCGCTTCAAATCCTTCACAATTTCCATTAGGCATTGTCGCGGGAGAAGCCCTGATCGGAGGGAAGTTTCAAAGGCAAGCTGACAACCACCCGGTTAGACGTATCTTTAACAATGAGGCTCCCTGCAAGTACTTACATTAGGTACCCTTGCTTTGTTAAGAAGGTCACTTGCTACTGGCGTATCGGTTCTCTCCTCTGGAAAGCTTGGTAGCATCGACCTTAAGGCCATCATGGAATTAGCAACAGCTGTGGGAAAAGTGTTGGGTAGGAGCCTTACCGAAAAAAGTCGGTGTCCGGGGAGGTGCAGACATGCAACAAAGCAGCTCGACAAAGCTGCCCTATTTCCCTTGCGTCACTCCTATCTGAGGGTATTGCCTGGACAGTACGAGAGAGGATCTGTCTCAGCAACTCAGAGTGTCCATCGCTAGGAACTTCATTCCTTGACGTATCCAATACGGAGGCCAACAAAGTACTTGAATGGTGGGCTTCATGGCTGCATTCAAAATGCTGACCAATCCTGGCAGAGTACTCTGTCGCAGTCGCAGGTTTCTCGACGGATTTCCTCTTTCGATCACAGGGCCCTTCATCTTCATCCGTGTTGCCATGCTTTCTTTTGCCAACACTGACCAAGTCGTTGTCTCCAGGGCGTGACAACAGTAACGGGTCATTGTCATTCAGGCTTCGACCAAGCACACTCGAGTCTTCTTTCCTCACCTCATGAGTTGCCGGGATGTCGGAATACGGTTGTGTGCCTTTGAGAATGTGCGCCGCAACAAGTCCCAGACTGTAAATGTCAGTCTTGAAGAGTAACTCAGCCTCAACTGGCAAGCCTTGCTCGATCTCAGGCGCCATCCATCTTGGTGTTCCTACACCAATTGAGAATCGATGCTTCTTCGGATAATCCGAAAGAATAATAGAGCACCCAAAGTCGCAGAGCTTGACAATCACCGGAGCCATTCCCATTGATTTCAGGTCTTTGCGTTGCGGACTGTCACAGACCAGCATGTTGCCGGGCTTGACATCACAGTGGACAATGCCGGTGTCATGGAGAAAGGCTAGACCTGTCGATATGTCCATAACCATCAAAGCTCTGCTGCAGAAGTCTAGATTGGGTGACACTTGAAGGTACTGGTCAACACTACCGTGCTGGGCCCCTTCTAGTAATATCTCGGGCAAGAAACGGCCTTTTGTCTCCCGAGTGTTCCATGATATCGCGATTAGGGAGACTATGTTGAGAGACTTGCGGACTGCTTCATGGGCTAAGATTCGGAGCTCGTTGGTGACTGCGAAGAATATGTCCGCATCGTGTTCGTATCGGTCCTGCCATGTAGACTGGCGAGGAACTAAAATCCGTTTGTTGACGTGGTTCTTCACAACGATTATCTCCGGGCCATTACTCTTGCTTTGAACACGATCAAACCAGTCTGCGGGAGTCTCGTTCGCCCAGTCTGTGCCTTTCGCTAGCTTGATCGTAGTATGTGCCCTAGCCACAGCAAACGAGAGACCACCCCCAATGGACAGAGTCCCACCAGCGCCAGGCTTTGCCCTCGATATTATTGGGACCCCCATTTCTACGGCCAGCGCGAGGAAACTGGCTGGCCCATCGACCACAGCAATGTCCTGTCGCCGATCTGAAGGCGTGCTCAGAGTTTCGGTTTCTTGGTACGTGGTGGCGAAATCTGCCATCGTGAGTTTCACAATAATGAAACCAGTATGATAGTCATTGGCAGAGGCGACAGGATCTGAATGTAAGGTGACAGTGGTAGCGGTCGGGTTCAATACCGTGAACAAGGTCGAAGCGACACCTCACCGAAGGGATGTGGACAATGTCACTTGGATATTATATTGGCAATAAATGACTGATCGGGAATAGGTCGGCCAGCCACTAAGCATCATCGAAACAGGTGGGGGGGTTTCAGAAGAGCTAAGCGCATCTCTGCTGCCTTGTACCGCCTTGACTGCACAGCCTTGCATCCCTGCATGTGGCTTTTGAGGTGCAGGAATAGCCCCCTTCCGGAAGACCGATGTGGGCGCCTGATGAAACCTCTAGAGGGCTGCATAATCTGCACCAACAGTGGTGCACAGCCGCCGGCGTCGGATCCCCTGCAGCGTTACCGGGGCCGAGCCTTTAATGGTAGTGAGGCGATGCTCGGTGGCGCTGGGAGAGCTGAAATTATGCGAGGAAACGCTGTTTTGCTATATAGCATGGGACACGGAGCTGGAAACAAGCATGCACAACTAGTCCCAGTGACTATTCAGTTACTAGGGTAGCACTCATAGAACACCTCCTGCAACTTCAAGCCACTGTGCACCCCTTCGCCCATAAATAATGATTTGAGCCTACCACCTACCAACAACCCGTTGTCCCGAACTCGTTCGCCATGGATATTGGCAGCGCAGTCATAGGCTTGTCTGGGCTGATTGCAGTATTCGACAAAGCATGCGAGGTTTGGCATGTCATCCAAGCCGCGAAAAACTTTGGCGATGACGTCGGCGGCTCGATTCGCCGACTTGAAGTCGAGTTCTTCCGTTTTCAAACCTGGTGGAAGGTAGTGTATAAGCTGGACGTCTTGCCGGTAAGTTTTCGTGCCTAAGCAGTCCTGGGGGAGAGAGGACCAACAACTTGTGATGGCTACAGGCATGTACAGAAGCTTACAGCATATGATTTGTAGGCGAGATCTGGTAGGGACATGTCGTACTCGGAGATGCCTATCTTGGCTACGCATTTGTCCAACCCTTCTCAAAATCCCATTGTCAGTATTGCTCATAGCATTTTGGGCATCCTGCAAGATATTGAGGGTCTCCTTCGAAGCTCGGGTGCCTTGGCCGTCCTGGACTCTCGAATCGCCATGACCAGCTCTCCAGAAAACAGTGGACATGTGTTGCCCAAGCAACTTGGAGACCAGATCAATGATGCAAAATCAGCAACGGAAGGGCTAAGCCGCCACTTGCTATCTGCCGTTCCATGGCGGAAGCGAGTGAAGCACGATGCAACCCCCTGGCGACGATCCAACAAGGTGCTTTTGGACGATAAGCTTGACAAGTTTCATGAATGGAACAATACCCTATATAGTATTCTACCCCATGAGCTCCGGGACAGCATTCTTCGACAAGGTATGTCGGGGCACCTGTTGGCTAATCCTGAGGAAGCGAGCTTTTTGGCGGAGCTTGATCAGGGAGCCATAAGCCAACAGGCCAAGCTTCTACAAATCCACAGGAAACTTGCCGAAAATACCTCTATGAGCTCGTCAGGGACGGGTGACGCGAGAGACAGATTGATTTCTTTCAACATGTCAGACGTGCAGGTGTATGACGGTGAACAATTCTCGGTTGTACGCCAATCAAATGGGCAACAAGGTAAAACCCCCCCAATCCTCATTCCTTCTCGGATGGATGGGCAAGTTGTTAACCTATAGCATACATTCAGCGTATTTGATCGAGTGGTACCAGATCCCAGAAACGGGAGGAGGAGGTGTTGAGCTGCGTTCGATCGCCCGGGAGAGGCTGGCCAAGCTTTCGATTCTCCTAAGCTCGGAAAATAAGCCCTCGACACTCTGCGCTGCCGACAGTGTTGGCTACGTGGAAACCGACCAGTTCTACAGATTTGGTCTGGCAAGTCACATCCCCGAGGGCGCATCTTCCGACAAGCTGCCAGTCACCCTGCACAGCCTTCTTTGCCGAAAGCCATTTCCCGGTACCTCGTCTAGAACACCTCTTCCAAGCTTAAGTCAACGTTTTCGTCTTGCCTCAAGCCTTGCAACCAGCCTCTACACCTTCATGCTCGCGCGATGGCACCACAAACTTTTCAACTCCATGAACATCTACTTCATGTTCCACAAGTCCGAGAGCAGGTTACCAAATCTTGACAGCCCATTAGTCGGCGGCTATAGTGTCTCACGACCATCTGCGACAGGAGAGATCTCGATATGTGCGACACAGTCTTCGCTGTCTGATTCTTACCTACACCCACAGCTTCGAGTACCCGCTCAGGAGAGACCAAAATATGCCATCAAGTACGAGATCTACTCGTTGGGACTGCTGCTTGCCGAGATTGGCTTCTGGCAACCAATCCTCAAGGTTGCGGCGGCTAGTTCGCCACGACACGGCCTGCACTCGGCGGAGGGCCTGAGAAACGCAATTATCCAGAAGACTTCCACCGACTTGGCTTGTTGGATGGGGGAGCAGTATAGAGATATAACCTTGCGTTGTTTAAAGATTGGGGACGAGCTTGGTGAGAGGACTGGGGATGGTTTATCTGACTTCTACTGGGGTGTGGTCTTGGAATTGGTACGGTTCGCAGAGCGTGTCAAAGTCCTGAGATGTCCCTAGCTCAATGTGGAGATTTTCGCTCTGAGTTTATGTCTGGCTATGAAATGTCTGTGGATGGCAGAGAAAAAGGGAGGGACAAGGTTGTTGACGGTGAGTATCCGTTAGACCCGAAAATGCAAAGCAGGAGCCTTGTTGGGCTGTTTCCTATACTTCTGTCTCACAGTCTTTGGTAGAATCTATCGAGAGGTCACTCGGGTTCTAAGGTCAGAAATGGATTCCTATTGTGTGCCTATTTGGGCTCCTGAACTGTTCATTTCGGCGCTCCTGTAGTTCACTTTAGGTTCTTTGGTTCCTCGTAGGGTTGATTTCGGGACCTTCCAGTGTCATGTAGAATTTCTAGGGAAGAAGAGCATGCTGGGCAATGAGTTGCTTGAGTTGCTGGGAAGCGTCCCTTCCCTGACGGCTGCCTACGGATGATCATCTTGGCGCCATCTTCGCTCTGCAGTGTGAGGCTAAGGCCGTAGCTTGATTGGTTTAGGCAGCAGCGTTTCGGCTGCTCCCCGTCCACTCCCTCGCGCTTACCCAATGCTCTCTCGCGCTCTCTCACGCTCTCACGTGCCCGATTAAAGCGGCCTCGCTCTCGTTCCTGAACCAAAAAGGGAAGGGATAAAGCACAGTTCGGGGTATACATAATGGATATATATACATCCTGGTAGGGAAAGGCTATACATGCCAAGGTATCGTACAGATATATACATGCAGAGGCAGTCCTACTGCTGCCATCGTCACCAAGCCCGGCCGACAATGGCTGGAGTCTCTTCCTCCTCTGGTTATAATCATGGCCATTCAACGTCGTGTTCGCGTTCCCCCTTGCACCAAAAAGGTGGTCTTCTGGGAGATCTTTGAGCTGGTCCAAGCCATACTTGTACAATGAATGCTCGTCTGAGTGCATGCTGCCGCTCGTGCTGTGAGCCGTTCCTCCAGCTAGTATCTCGAGACCTGTACAGTCGTGGTTTTTGTGATGGCCCCAGGAACAGGTTTCGCCCACGGACTCTCGCCGCTGACTGCGTGAAAATCTTGTTCCAACATAATCTTGTCGCTGTTGTCGTCGCCCGCGCTCACCGTGCTGGTGACCTTTGGTAATTTTTGGCTCGCCCCTCTCTGCAGCTCTCCCAGCTCGGTCGACTGCCGCGAATCGAATTGATAGTATTGGCTGGCGGGTTTGTGAGAGGAGCGCTTGTCGGTTCTGCTTCGACTATAGGCCAGCCCGTCGGCATTGTACCCATAATTTGCACGATTCCGGCTGTTGTTCGACGTGAATCGCTGCGTGACACCGAGAAGTTTGGCGAACAGCGGACGCAGCGAAGGCAACGAAGCAGCCAAGATACCGATATTGAACTCGATGTTGTTCCACATGAAGAAGGAATCGTGAAAGGTCCAGTCAGGGTCTTCGAGAGCATGGGCCTGTTTGACCGTCTTGATAATGCTTGAGGCGCAGGCGAAAAGGCCCAAGCCTAGGACAAAACACAGAGTCAGCTTTGTCCGCAGATTTGCTTGCAGCTTCCACACCACCGGTATGGGAAGCAGCGCAAAAAGGACATCCGTGGCAATGTTGACGCTGCTGTTGAAAATACCAATATTTGTAAACGTGTTGTTGCTGAAACATTTGGCTTGTCCAGTCGCCCGTAGACCAAAATTCCAATTCGCATCCACACGCGTGCCGCAGTTGAAGATCAGAGTGCCTGCGCAGGATATTGTAAAGGCAACGAGAAAGACAATGCACCCCAAAAGAAAACGTTGATGGTTTTTGCTGAGCACAAATCTGCGCAGGAAGAAGGCGATGGAGATCTTGACAAGGCTTATGCCGACCATGATGATGATGGAATGGAAGAATCGCCAGTGCGAAAAGAGAGTGCTATCAGGCAAGCTGACAAGCGCTGGGTGCCTCCCCAGTTGCCCAGCATTGCTCTCGCCCACGAAACAGACAATGACGCCGATTTCGCAAACCTGGTAGAATAGTCCGTTAGAGAAAATGCTCGGGGCGGAGGGCTATGCGTTCTCAGAAGACTAACCGCAGCTGCTATCATAACATAGTCATCAGTCCCGAGGCTTTTGAGCAGGAACGCTCTCACAAAGATGCGAAGGAGAACCGTAAGGATAGCAACGCCTCCGAAGGTGCCGTGTATTGCGAGCAGGGCGCCGGCGTTGGATTCATCCTTGTATTGAGGAGTAGCAGCAGCTTGCCTCTCCAAAAGCTGAGAAAGACCCGAAATAACCATGGCGTTGCTGAAGGCGTGTCAATTGTCGCATCAACCAGGCAAGGCAGTTGTAGGTGGCCTGTGACATTTGGACAATGCGAGATTGACGGGGTTGAAATTGTCAGAACAAGATGGTTCAAAGCTCTTTGTAGTTTCAAGTTGGGTATGGCAACTCATTCTGGGCTCGGTCCCCTGTGGACATGAACCGCGGAGCTCCTCCTCTTGAGATCCTGCGCTTTTTGCAGTTTCAAGACACAGAAAAACCTCGGCTGGGGGCGGGGAGACCTGGCCGGCACTTGATACCTACTTTAGGAGCTATGCCATTTCAAAAGCTCAACAGAGTCACCTTTGGTCTAGTCCTGGTTGCATTTTGTTGCCTTTGGTGTGGTTGTTGTGCCTTGTCTATAATCCCATTGAGCGCCAACTTGGAACTACCCACCAAAACAGGGAGACAGGAACGCCGGCGCATTGTTCGCGCTGGGTAAATACCCCTAGCGTTCTGTGCTGTACTTGGGTGGTGAGAAGAGTTACAGACCTCGACACTTCCCTTCCTGTCCACATGTGTAGTCGATTTGCCACTTCAGCGTAGGAGTGGATCAGTGCCTGGTCCAGGAGAAAACTCACTTTCTGACTGCATGAAACTTGCCCTGAAGGGTATAACAGCGGTACAGGGGAGCGTGGAGACATCTAGTCGAGGCGCTGCCTGTGCATTAATATTGTGCAATAATATTTGATCACTTTAGCCCAATGTAGTACAATAGCTCCAGGGGGTTGGATGGTTCTTGCATGGATTATGCTTGGAATTCTCCTCACGCTCAGACAAAAGGTTGCAGTATAGCGCGATAGACCCCGGGCTGGAGGAGACAGAAATGTACTCGGTAACCAAGCTCGGCATTCCTCGGCGCAGGTGACTCGTGATAGTCGAGTAAGGCATTTCATGGTGAACGACCTTTGTGTGGGCCATACTAGCTGGTGAGTCCCGTGAAAGGATGAAGGAGAGTGCGATGTCATGATGGAAAGTATGTGAATAAGTCAACAGCCCGACAATGCAGCGACTCATACCTCGTGCAGTACGAGGTCCTCACAGACACACACACGGCACATGGGCAGGAGAGAAATTATGCAAGAAAAAGTCCTTGGCAGGGGTTGGAATTAACCTTTTAGGCTAGTAATGGACTATACCTTCTATGGTATAACCGCCGCAACTCTACCCCGGATAGTCATTTTAGCGTCTCGTTCCGCTCGGCACGTTCCAAATGACCAACGTGGCCATCTGCCCTCAGCCGAATATCTCTTCCGCAGCAAAATCCCATCTCTCCGAAGCATCCCGCGTTGATTCACCCCCTCCACCATAGAACCTTCCACCCAGGTATACGCACAGTATGAGGTAGAAAGTACCTCTGGACTTCAAGACACCAGATTCTTCACTCTCTTTGCGCTTGATCGATATTAGTGTCGGAAGTCGGTGTCTTGATCATGGCCCCAATATACACACCTGCAATCTCTAGACCCTGTCAATGTCTTGTATTGCATTGCGGTGCAATTGCCGAAATCAGTCATCATGGCCTGGGTGCCAGGGCCCATGAACGGCAGTGATCGGCACAGAGCCCCATCATGCTACGAGTACCTGCTCCATGCAGGGTTCCATTCTCACACACCACTTCACACAACTTACCCCCATGGATCATGAAGCCTTTGATCACCTCCGCTTAAAGTTCACTGATGTGGTCGCCTATCCAACATAACCTCCGGAGAGCATCTCGCTAGAGTCTCGCTCTGACTTCCGACGAATGTTTCGATAGTTGTTTAAATACCCGAGATGCTTATGCGCGAGCTGAGATAGACTATCGACTGCCGCGTGTCAACGTTTACCATCTCATTTCCCTTTGCTAATGTCTCGCGTGGCCTGCTAACAACCTCGTGGCAGCTATAGGTGCCCCAATAAATACCGTTATAACTGCAGCGGAACCAGCGGGGATCCAGGTTTTTCTCTTCTTCTGGGAAATCTGCCTCCGCGAAGAGCGTTCCATTATTATTTGGCTCGAACCTGACTTTAGGTGTCGACCGTCCGCTCCTTGACTTTCTTTGAAAGAGCTTTGTTTCTTCGTACCCTTGCACCATGCATTTCCAATTTCTCCTTCCGGCGTTGTTGGCCATCGGTAGTACACGCGCAGCACCAGCTCCTGTCGAGAACGACTTGTCGGAGCGGGATGCGGATGTGTCTACTGCCTCTATCTATATACCAGCTTCAACTCTTCAGACCGATATCCTAGCAGCCAAAGGTCTTGTTAACCTCGCGTTCTATCAGGTGACGAATCCGTCAGGCGGAAGTTGCAACTTGCTCAATGCGGCTGTACGCAGAGAATGGTCCACGCTCTCCAAAGACGAGAGGCGTGCGTACATTGCGGCGGAGCTGTGCCTCATGTCGAAGCCAACGCAAGACCCCAACTTTGCAGCAGGCGCACGGTCCCGGTACGACGACTTTGTCGCGGTCCATATCAACCAAACGCTGTCCATCCACGGGACTGCAAACTTCCTGGCATGGCATCGGACCTTCACGTGGAACTTTGAACAGGCGCTTCGAAACGAATGCGGCTACACGGGATATCAACCGTACTGGAACTGGGGCAAGTACGCCTTTGATCCTCTCCACTCGCCCCTGTTCGACGGCAGCGATTACAGCATGTCGGGCAACGGTGCTTACGAGCCCCACGGCTGCACCGAAGGCCTGCCCACGCAGATCAACTGCATTCCTCCCGGGTCTGGCGGCGGCTGTGTGAACACGGGACCCTTCAAGGACTACGTGGTCAACTTGGGTCCCGTGGCGCCGACCTTGGATATCCCGGGCATCATCAACTACTCCAATCCAGACCCTCTGGCCTACAACCCTCGCTGTCTTCGTCGCGACATCTCATCCTGGGTGTCTTCGAACTGGACCAAGGACTCGGACTCGTATGACCTGATCTCGCACTACAACGACATTCTGTCGTTCCAGAACCGCATGCAGGGTGACTTCAGCGTCGGATTCTACGGCGTCCACACAGGCGGCCACTTCACGACCGGCGGCGACCCGGGCGGCGACCTCTTCGCCTCGCCCGCGGAGCCGACGTTCTTCCTGCACCACGCGCAGATCGACCGGACCTGGTGGATCTGGCAGAACCAGGACCCGAAGAACAGAAGAAACGCCTTTGCGGGGGGCACCTCGACGTTGGATCCCGTCAACAGCCCGCCCGGACAGCTGACTGATCCGATCATCATGGGGAGTCTGGGACAGACGATACAGAACAAGGACGCATTGTGGACGACCGCGGGTCCTTTCTGCTACATTTACGTCTGAGAGAAGCGGAGGCAGGACGATGGGGGAGAAGGGAGGAGAACAGCCCGTGTTTGCACGTTTACGACCTTTCTCGACCCTGGATACGCAATAGAACCCCACGGGAGTTTACAGCAAGCAGCAGACACACGTACACATACACATACATACACGGAGATTTGTTGGGCATCACGCCTCGTACATAATGTTTATTCTTGGAACCAGTTGCCGGTCTGGACAGTTGCAGATGATCTTTTCTTGTGCCTTTCCATATGACTGCAACCGAGTGTATGCCAACCTTCCCAGACTTTCCAGCCTTTCCAACCTGGCCATTCACGTCTGCTGTCCTGTCTCCATCGCCACGTGAAACCAAGAGGAAAGGACGCGTCAAGAGATCTCGAGAAGGAGCTTGAATCGCAGGACTAAACATATCGAGTACTTGGCTAGTATGTCCTTGTTTGTCGTGCTCGATACACGTGTACGAGGTACTCGGTACATCTATGCAGTTCAAGTGGTCTCTCGCATCTGAAACGGCAAGGCTGACTTGATTTTTTAAAGGGCAGCAACGCCCCTTTTTATCTCTTATCGCTTTTTCACTCGTCGGGTTCCCCACAGACAAACAAGGCAGTGCAAGGCTGTCTTGATTCACTCCACGTCTCCTGAGACACATTTTCATCCACACAGTTTAGACCTGAAACACATCATCCATCCAAACAGGAAACGAGAATAATACGTTATTCTTTCCTGATCGGAGAATTTTGTTCACTTTTTTTTCGGATTTCGCCCAACACCCAACACAGCCACCCCCTACACACCTACTTGACACTTTTACGTCGTACACGGGGTTTCGACCAATACCCTTTTTTTTTTTCACAACAATCTTTCCACGACGACGCAATTTTTAATCGTTTCCCTTAACTCTCCTTCACTTCAATTCTACAGAGTAGATCGGACACGTTCCCAAGAAATCTCCATTTTCTTTTGGGCCTCACGAGCCGTCATACTAGCTTAGCTGGCAACCGAGTACTGATCACTACCTACCTACCTACCTGACACACGCGGCAAGGATTCTCCACAATTAGGTGTGTAATACCAAATCACGCCCCCTGTACCGAGTCTGGTCATGTGATCAACCCCAAGATCGATAGATTGTCGACATTAACCTTGTTCATTCTCTCTAGCACAACACACCGCCAACACACAAAGTAAGAGACAGGCAGGGACAGCACAGGAGAGAGCACAAAGGCAGAGTCGGGCCAGGGCACAGCAGACTCGTCGACTGGTAAGCTTGCTCGCAGGCCTAGCAAAACATCAACGGGGAACCAAAAAAAATATTCAACGACACCTACGGGCAGAAAGGAGAAACTCGCCCAAAAATGTTCGACCTCGTGAATTGGTTGATGCTCATGTGTTGCTGGTGCTGCGACCGCAAGGACAGGGACGAAGAGGAATACGACATCTCAGAGAGTAAACGCCGACATGAACACGAACGTGAGGGAGAGAGTCGAGGCGGGTCAAGAGGGCAGGCCGGCGGGGGTGAGCAGCAGAGTCAAGGACAAGCACAAGGACAGCCGCAGCCAGAGAACAAGGAGGAGAAGAAAAAGATGCCGCCGCGACTAGCGCATGCGCCGGTGCTGGAGACGTCGTCATGATCAGGCTTGGACTACAGAGGTCAGCGTACGGCCTGTAATGCTGGGCTATTTTCATCCCATGTCATCTCAATGCGAGATTCTTGCCTGCGGCGGCGGTGGTGGTGGTGGTCGCTGAGTCGAGGTTAAGGGAATTGACTGGCTTGGCTCAAAGATGAGCTGTGCCTCCGAGAGAGCAGACAGGGCCGAGCCCTCGCCTCTCCAGTCGCTAAATAGTGAAGAAGAAGAGACGATTACTATCCCTCACCTCGCCACGCCAGGGGCCACCAAACCGACAAAAACCCCCAAGTTCATTCAAATTCAGAGCAAAACGCGGAAGCATTACAAATCCAACCCATTTTCACTTCACTTCAGTGACCTTTTTCTTTAACTCACTCGCCGGCCGCTTCCTCCTCCTCCTCCTCCTCCTGGAAACTCCCCCCCGGCGGCTCCTCCACATACTGCACCGCATCCTCCGGGATATCCACCACGGCCGACCTCGTCCAGATATGCACCGCTCGACGCATCATCTCCTTGGACAGTCCGTCGAGACAGCCCGCCTTGACGCTCAGGGTGCGCGGCTGCGACGTCGACGACGACGACGACGACGATGACGACACAGCCACGTGGACCAGCCGACTCCCGCACGCCGTGCAAAAGTACCCCTCGGTGCGGCCGTGCGGGTTCGGGCGCGCGTACACGGCGATGGCGCTCGGATGGGGCGCAAACGCCGCGATGTCGAAGAAGGGGAAGATGGCCGTCATGCCGTACGTCGACGACGACTGGTGCCGGCACTCGGTGCAGTGGCAGATGTACAGCGCCTGGGGTTCCGGGAGGGGCGTGCGGAACCGGATCTGCCCGCATTGGCAGTGGCCTTCCATGAGGATCTCGCAGTCACAGTCACAGAGACAGAGACAGAGACAGGGATACAGATAAGAGATACAGACTGACGCGCAGTCAAGTGTTGTCCTGTAAGTCGTAAAGTGAGGAGATGGAGCTGTGGTAGTCTCCTTGATACGTGAAACACACCTGGTCTGAAGTGCCCGTGACACCTTTTTCTTTGGTAAATTATCACGATTCAACGCAATGATGAATTCCGCCGTCTGGTGCCGCCGAGTCTCCAGCGGGGAGGGGACCAAGATTTTGTCTCTCCGCGCCCCTTCGACCCCTCATGCTGCTACACCCTCATATACCTATGTACAGTACCCTCGTACATAAGTAGGTACCTACACACCTAGCCAGGCGTGCCAGATACCTAAACATCAGTCGAAGGCCCTGTCAGGCACCCTGGGCGACTAACCGCCAATCGCTGCAGCCCCCAATCACCAATCTCGTCTTTGTACTTAAGTTACCTACTCGTATCGAATAGCCTGGTGGGAAGGCCCTGATGCCATCTGCGCAGTCTCCATGGTAATGACGACAAGTCTAGCAGAACCACTACCTGTAAGCGTGATGCTCAAGAGCATTCCAATATCGTTCTAGGAGGACGAGCAAGGTGCCATTTTTAGATGGGCGTAATATGTAGCTCGGTATCTGACAAGTCCTCCAGTAGAGTATACCGACCTTGCAGCATACCATGATCTGCCATGCACCGACAACCATCCCGTGATTCAGCGAGAATAAATAGTAAGTCTGTTCACCTAGATGGATGTTCCGAGTACCTAGCGAGTAGGTATGTATGTCGTTGTGGTTGGTGGAGGTTTTCGAGTGCCGTCGTGCCGTAAAGCGAGCCGAACGTGCGACATATGTACTCGGTACCTCGTACTTTGAGCGCCTGTTGGCAGTTTCTCCCCTACGGACTCCATGATCGTGCATCTGACCCATCAGGACCGTGTTTACTGCGGCACAAGGCCTTCAAGCCATGCCGTGGCAGATGCGTTGGTACCTATGTTGGTACCACAGATTCCCGGGCTTATGCTCTGTTGCGACGACCTAAAACCATGCCAACGGCAGAGGAACACAAGTGGGCACCTACATACATGTTGTCACCGTCTTTCAGGGCCATGGCCTGCGTTTCTGCCTCTTATCTTTTTCATGTTGTCAACCTTTTTGGACCCCTTGTATGTGGGAATGTATTCTCTCCTCGGGAGGAGAGATGTAAGCCTCGCCTGATCTTGTCGATGTACTGAGTCTATGTCACCCCACCACTTCAAACGACCGGTATCGCAGCAGCGGTGGCGCCTGGCCAGGCGACAGCTACTCGTAAACAACCCTGTCCAGGCGCCCCAAGTGTCTGTGTCTGACTCGACGGCAACATTGTCATCGACTTGACCGAAATATACCTTTTTGAATCGAAAGAACAATGTCAAGCTTTCTGGCCGTTGGGTGGGCGAGGCGAGACCGTCGGTCAGAGAGGGGAAGGCAGTAGGCGACAAAAGTTGCGAGTTGAAAGACGGGGACCATCTCTCTAAGCGAGGTCTAGGTGCTCCTAGTTAACGATCGACATGCCTAAATGTCCAGATTGGGGCGGCTTCGGGCTTCGCAAAAGGCGGGATCCCTCTCAGTCCGGCTTAGCAACCTATTCACACTTGGCCAATTCCAAACCACGGGAAGCCTGGGAAGGCAAACAAGTGGCTGTCATCAACTCGTCAACATCGAACCGTCTCCAAGTGAACAACAAGTCTGGGCGGGGCACTCCCAACGAGTCGAACCATTTCGCGTTTCGTTGGGTGTTTCGGCCAGCAAGCGAGCGCCTATTCCCCGTTGACGAAGCTCGTATGAGGACGCCCGCACCCCGTTTCGTCCCTCGCGATTTCTCACGCATTCCTCAACTCCAGCCCCTCTCATGAGAACCCTGGTTGTCACTCCTGCCGGAACCTTGTATTATTCAACGAAGCAAGGGTGATGTAAGAGTTGCAAGTTGGGGGCCGGGTTGCTCGTAACCATGCCGGAATCGAGCTTGTATGGTACGGAGACTTCCCCGACAGATTGGGAAACAGACGACGTGGATACGTCCGAAGATGAGCTGGCTTCTGCTGCTGGAAATTCCCATGGACCAAAGGCTCGCAGTACGACCTCGTACAGTACCCAAAGTGTCAGATCGCGGCATCTCATCAACAGTCCGAAACCGCCTGCGCCTAAAGCGATATCAGCATGCCTCGTCGACCCATTCGAGACATTGCCCATCGAGGTTGATGGAGTGACAAACCAGCTCCTTCACTTCTACGGCCAGAACAGCTACTGGCAAACCGCCTATGCCCTGTCTCCTAAGATAAAACCCTCGATCAAAGGATCCTGGGAGTATCAAGCGGGCTCATGTTTGACTCATTTCCATACGTTGATGGCTCGTTCAGCGCTGCACCAACTGCGCATGAATGCCAAATACGCCACGCCGGCCACTAAGAAGGCCCTGGAGTATGCGGCATTGAAGCACCAGACCAAAGCAATCACAATTCTTCGGGAAAACGTGGAACTTGGCTCCAACGCCGATCTCAAACTGATCTTGACGTCCATCATCAGTCTTGCGTCGTTTGAGCAACGATATGGAGAGCGTAAGAGGGCTGTGCTTCACTTCAGGACCGGTAGGGACATCATCCGTCAGATAGGCCTGCAAGACGGCCTCCACGATCGGTTGAGAGAGGAACAGGCGCTTTGGTTCGAGGGGATCTATCGGGACCCCGAGGCGAGCTGGATGTGGGGAGGAGAAGACGCAAATATGCGACTGGGGTGGCTAAAGTCTCTCCTCAGAGATGTCGATCGGATGTGGAAAGATAGGCAGTTGTTGCCCTTGAAAGACAAAGGCCCCTACGTCGTCGAGGATTTGAGGGTACATGAGTTCCTGTTCCGGGAGACAACAGGGAAGAGTGTGAGTGTCTATGGCGACATCGACGAGTTCATCGCACAGCAACGGTGCGTCCTAATCCTCATATCGATCATGTGTGGAGTCCTCGGAGTATTGGAAGTGCAGAGTCACCTAAAATTGGTGTCCAAGATGATGGCACTGCAGGTCGCAATCCAAGCCTACGTCGGTTACATTGAAGATTTGTTGGTCGAGCATGATCTAGGCAAAGAGCAAGCGGTGGCCGACCTGCTTTGGATGATGTGCCAAAACTATCGCGACGCAAAGCCACGCTTGGCGAGTGCTGGGACAGTGACGGTGCGAGATGCCCTGCAAAAATTGAATTTGCGGGATTGTCACTGGCGTGCTAGCGGGATTGCCAACCTGGTGAAGTATCTTCCTCAAAACCGGCAGTTGAGTTTGAGGAATATGCTTCTCGACTTCATCAGTGGCGAACCATATTCGGGCAAGATCAAGTTCAACGAATTCGAGTTCAGCTATGCCGGCGCCTGATTATTGACCACCTCTGACAACAGCGTGTCCCCTGGTAAGAGAGCCAGGAATCGACGGACAGGGACATCTGTCAAAAAGGTCGAGTCAGACCCCATCGAGCCAGCCGATGTATGGTGACACAAGGACAGAGACTGTCATTTACCTTCAGCAGACGGTGCCATTCCGGAGACAGATTCCAAAAAGGGTGGTTTGCATAAGAAGCGAAGAAAGTGCGGAAACCCCTCCCAAATGAAGCCCAAACACAACGGGCCGTGGTGTGTGAGATCGATCCCAAGTGGCCAGAAGGAGGAGAACTTCGGCATCAGTGGGAAATGACTCGAAACCTGAGAAAGATGAACGGCACTAGACATCCCGAGGTATGCCTTTCAGCAGTAGGACCACAATGAGGGAATTGGATCTCGAGTTGTCTTTCACTCAGTCCGACATTGTTTATTGCCAGGCTGAAAAGCCGTGCATTGTTTCCATTAGTCTAATTCGTTGATCCGCAGACGGGCATTCTGGATTCGATCTTGTGCTGATTATGATGGCAAGCGTGGGGAAAAGAAAGTCTTGCTTCCTAGGCTCCCGAATCCCGGTCCCCCGCCTTGAGCGTGATGATTGTCTCGTGTGACTCTCCAAGTCTAGGCACGGCACGAGGGTGAGAGATACTCGAGGCGATGCAAAAGCCCTGAAGAAACGACACCAACTCGGTTGGCCGGGGGTCCTGAGGAATTGTACTTAGGTAAATCTGGCTGTAGCGTTCGACCGCGGATGCAAGGTGGAAGTTCCGGCGCGGTCCACCCCCACGACCTGATCGACATCGCCTATCGGATTCGTTGCATCCAGAAGTGCGTCCAAGAGCGTCATCCTCAACGCCCGGGGGCGTTTCTCCAGGAAGGAGAATTCAAATCATACAGGCGCAACACCGTGGTAAAGGGCGCTTCAAACCATGGTGTCTGGCGCTGTGATCATCCCAGACCATGATACCAGGATACTTAAGGGTCCGTAGTCCGAATTGAATCGCTAGAGAGAAGTATCCGCTGATATGCCGTTGACACGAGAGAACAAAGTGTTGTGCTTCCATTGTCTATTTGACAGCTCTCAGCCGTCGCGTCTGCCTTTCCAGCCATTCAATAATGGATCGACAAATTGTTTGGATGACCTCTCCATCCAATGAACTCTTGCTTCCTGGAGAGGAAACTTGTGCAACTCCGCTTGTGCATTCTGGAGCACAATTTGACAACCATTTCGTACACCCTCCTACTTGCAAACACCACTGTGAGATAGCTGTGGTGAGAAGCCTCGAAAACACGCACTTTGCAAGCAATGGAAGAGACAAAATCTTGTCCTCAGGCGTCTGGCCAGGCGATTCCGACCTGGCTTACTCGATGACGCCATGTAACGTGTGCTTGTGTCTGACTGATGGTCGGATTGACGATGACGGCCTGCACCTGGATGATTTCGGACAATTAGCGAACCTCCAATCCAATAAGGCCCCCACAACAGACACCACACTCATTGTTCAAAGCATGACAGACTCGAGGCTGTCTTCGCACGCGCTTGACGACATCTCTGACGATATTTCCGAGTCCAGCTTGCATGAGCAGACACCAGAGCCAGGGTCACAGCAATGGCAGGATCAGACACGTTTGACATCATTCCTCCTTTCATGGATCCTGTCAGACCAGGGCCAAGATCATACAGAGCGCTGGCTTGCCGGATGCGACCTGCCACATTTTTTCACCCTGGACAGCGATAACATAGTATGGAAATGGAAAGAGACGCCACAGGTGACGGTGCCGCTGGAGGACTGGGAAAATACTGGCTCTTCAGACATGTCGGCCGGCGCGATCGATCTTTGGAGCGATGACAAAAGGTCGCAGCAGACCGAGGTAACCTCCACCTCATCATTGTGAGCGCGATGTGAAGATGATCATCGTATAGTTATGCAAGTTGGTATCCCAAGTGACAGGACATCTGCACTATGATTGATTGGGTTGGGACAGAGGTGGAGTTCAGGTAGTCGACGACGTAAGGCATCACTGTTCGTTATTGCAGTGTTGAATGACCAGAGGCGGTTGAGCGCTGTTCAAGTACCGGGATCAGCAGGGTGAATGGACATGATATTTGCCAATGGCGATCGCATGGTGAGAGGAGTGCATATGAAGAGAGTGAAACTTGAGTTTGTGGCTCGGGGTTCGCATTTACTTTCATCCGAATTGGCCCTCCCAAAACGTGCACCACTATTATCTGCTCTCACACGACCACATTTAGTAACTGTCTTGACCCTGAGATGGACAGCTGTGCCTCTGCACCAGTGTAGAGACCCAAAAAACCTCTTTCGGCCCTGGAAGAATGTCATGATCCCCGCGTCACCCGATTGAAATGGCCGATAGCGTGGTGACACAAGCCTTCTCTCTTGTGGGATGGGCATTCCTCCCTGCCGTATGTGGTTCAGCAGCGCAGCGCAGCGCTTTTGGAGGCATTTTACTGATCTGAACCCAGTACGCTACAGCCTTCCTGCAGTCGATATACTATCGTCTCACTATTCGCGCTGGACAACCACACCCGCGGCCCGGTGAACCCTTATTTGCCTACCATAACCGCCGCATACGCGTCTTGGTTTTGTCGCTCTACCTCATGTACACCCTCTCTCAAGCCCTCTATGACATTAGACTCGCTGGAGACTTCTATACCCTGCTTGGAGTCACGCCGTGGTCGACAGAGCGGGAAGTCAAGAGTCGTTTCAGGAAGCTGGCGGCGAAATATCACCCGGACAAGTTGCATGAGAATGGTCAACCTTTTCCAGGGGCCGATGGACTGTTCGTCCGGTTCAAACTGGCGCACGACACTATCTTGGATCCTGCAAAACGGTTCGCGTACGATCGGTTCGGACCCGTCATCGTTCAAGTCCAGCATCCGGGGCTCAAAACGATTCGAGACTATGTGTATGCTGGCCTTCGCTCAAAGGCTCCTGAATATTTGTCCAATGCCGGGCTGCTTATTTTGCTCAACTACATATGGCTGCCGAAATGGGGACAGTTCTGGCGCTATTTTGCGGTTGCCTGTATGGCGTTTCTGGAGCTGTACTTCCTTACACACATCTGGCAACCTCCGAGACTTGTGGCACTATGGGTGTCGACGGCTCAGAGGCTCTTGCCAGATCTCCTTCCACCACATCTTCTTCCGTTCCAAATTCTAGGCCTTGCCAGACGGATGTCCATGTCTGTCAATATTTTCATCTCCCAACTCGCTCCTCCCAAGGCGCGGGATCCGGCTATGAGAGACCTGCAGACGCAGCAGCAGATTGCACACTTGGCTCAGGCGGCGGGTAGATTGGATGCAGAGTCCGGAGGATTGCTTCAATTGGGATTGAGTCCGTTTAAGGGAGATGCAGAGAAGTCAGACCATCTGAGGTCAGGCATGAAGGAGTCGTTGGTCACAAACGCATTGAAACGAAACCCGGAAGTGAGGGCAGCTGTGCAGCGGGCTCTTGACAGGAGGAGACGAGGGCCCATGATGCAGGAACCTGACTGAGGGTGTCCTGGTAGTTGTCTCTGTTGACAATATGTTAGACTTCAGGCTACACAATGTCATTTCCTTCTCGTATTCGCTCCTCGTTAATCTCAGTAGGTTCGTAGGTCAGCTCATGTGTGCTGGTTAGCGAGCGCATTTCTTTTCCGGTACCGATCTGGTGCAAACGTTGTTGCATACTCTTTTGGATTGTTTACGATTCTATTGCGGAGCACTTGTTTCGATGGATTATCGATCGTGGTGACGGTGATACGGTGTCAGTGACCGGATTGGAGACCAATGGAGACCAATTTGGAGTGACAGTGAAAGACGAGGCTGGACCAATCGTCCCCTCGATCGCAGCCGCGGCGATCAAGTGCCACCTTGGAATTTGGGAAAAACGAGCGAACGGAACCCTTTTCTCCACCATCCCAACGCGACTTGGTGCCAGGCCAGGGCTGGGCTGCTCAGAATCCCGATTATCGCGAGAGACCTCGAGCATTTCCACCTTAGACTCCCCTCATCCTCACCTGCGACTCCTGCTTCTCGAGCCCTTGCGGTCCTCCCCTCAACATCTTGCATCATGCTCAGCGCAATATGTCGTCGCCCTTCAATAACACCTCGGCCCGCTTTAGATCATTTTGCGCCACAAACGATGATCTTCTCACCCTCCCAAGCTTGGACGACGCGCGCCGAGACCACATTCCGGACAACGTTAACACCACCGTTATGACCCCGTTCAATGACTCTCGTCCCCCAAGTAGCGATGGGAAATTACGGTGTTGCTGTGGGCGGACAGAATGTGCCTATCTGGAGAACAACAACACTATCCTGGGCGGCATCGAGAGAGATCTCGAGACCGCCGCAAGATTGGGTCAGGTACGTGCACCACAACATTTCGGAATATCGGGTATTGTTCATGTTTTGCCCCCACCCGCCGTTGGTTGCGCCTGGACGATCCCGCATGATGCCAGCTGAGATTATGCGAGAGACTCAATACGAGGCTGCCGTTATGTAGTCCTACACTCCCCATATTGCTGGTTCATGTCCCGTTTGTGTTTGTTCAGCGCGTTGCAGGCTGCGGCCGAAGAAATGGATTTCTTTATGCCCTCATCAGCTGGGTGTAGAGCCGCCGGCGAGAGAATGAAGACGAGCAGTGGGCTAACGTTTGCTCTTCAGGCACTTCTTAGCCGCCATGAATCTTACGTCTCCGACTCGGAACACGAGCACCAGCGGCTAACAGCCTATATCAACGAACTGGAAAACGAAAGGGCCGCTTTGCAGACTACAAACGACAAGATTGTGGAGGAAAATCGGCAACTCTTGACCCAGCTCGAATCGGCCAATACGTCCCTCAAGGAGAGCGACAACCATGTCAAGAGCCTCGAAGCGCTCCTCCGTGACTGTGAAGTCGAGGTTCGAAGATTAAACGGTCTCAGCCGGCGTACAGAGGAGTTGGAGCTGAAAATACTTGAGATGGAGAGGGAACGAATGACAATGGCCCAACAGGCAGATGATGCGAGAGGGGAAATTCGGAGCACGATCAAGCGGTGGAGAGAGAGCGAGATCAAAGTCCGCCAACTCGAGCATGATGTTCAACGAATCGAGTGGGATGCAAAGGAGGACAGAGAGCGCTACGAAGAGATCATTGCGAGGCTCGAACGTGAACGTGTCTTGGAGAGGGAACTCGGGGGTGCGGAAGGTCGACTGAAATCCGCTGCTGCGTTTCGCGGCCTCAACGCCAACGAGAAGAACAGCAATGTGGTCGGCCACTTTGTGCGGGATATCCTCCAAGACAATGCCAATCTGCAGGCTGGTATTGTTGAGCTAAAGGAGCTGCTTCAAGCGTCGAACGAGGAGGTGCAGAATCTGAGAGAGCAGATCCTGGAGCACCAGCCTGTAGACGACGGCAATCCTGGGGCCATCTCCACATCTGTACCTTTGAGCGACCAACTAGGCTGGTCACAGCCCTCCGCGAGTGTGCAACAATCCGTTCATGTCCACCACCACTATCACGCCAAACTTGCGAAGCGAGATCGGACTCCGACGATTCGAAGGTCATCTCGCAAAAGGACAGCGCTGGGTCTGGGTTTTCTTCCATCCACGCCAGAGTCTTCTGCACCTACAACACCCATGGCCGGTCCATATCGAGTCGTTTCCAGCCCGGTGTTGCCCATCGCTCTCCATCAGCCACAAGCCATGAGAAAGCGATGGTCTCTACAGTCCGCTGCAACCAGCTCATCTGTAATGTCGAGTTTCCCAAGTTCTCCGCGATCGTATCTAGAGCAATCCAGCTCCATTTTCGACCGAATTGAAGCCGGCGAAGAGTCCTCTAGGCCTACGAGTCCCGAGTCGACTGGCGGTTTCACATCTCCCCAGCTCAAGTCTGCATCTGATTACGATGAGAGAACAAAAGACCTACTAGCAGAAGAGGATTTCCACGATGACGCCACCGAAGTGTTTCCGGAGGACGAAAACACGGACGTGAAAGGTGATGCTGACCTAGGCCATGGAGAAGAGGTCAAAGAGTCATCGTCTCGTGATTTGACGCCCAAGCCCTCCCAGCTTCTTGTCGGTGCTGAACTAGTGGACAACACAATCCAGCCAGAGCCGCCAGATATACTCATTGAAGGGGAAGCGGTGGCGAACATGTCAGACGAACCAACAGAGGAAGCAGAAAACAACACTCTGTCTCAGCCCACGACTCCATATAAACACGACGCGACCTCTAACCCTACCACACAACCCGTCCTTCGACGTACATCCTCACACGACTCGCTAGTGTCCACATCTGGCATGGATATACATATTGCCAAACGTCCCAGTTCTTCGAAATCCCAGTCATCGAGTGTCCTAAGGGGAAACAAGGCATACTTTGCTCTCTCGCCGTCTGCGACTCGAAGGATCGTTTCTGCACAGCCATTGACTACCGTCACGGAATACACGGCGTTGAGCTCTACGATATCATTGGGCACAGATTGGCCAGGCAACGTGTCAATTGGAAATCAGGTGCCACAACGGAGTGTCAGCTCGAGCATCGCCGCATTGAGTGGCCTGGCAGATCTATTACCCTCCCAGTCAGAAGACCGACAATCTTCATCCTCAGGATTTGGGCGTCTTCTCGGAGGATGGGTGAGAGGCAAATGGGGTGCTGCGCCCGTAAAGACCGATGTCGACCTGCCTTCCCCGACCGCTTCAGTCACCACATCGTCTTCGAGTGAAACCCATGTACAAGCATCGTTGCTTTCGTCGTACATGGGCGGAAGGCCTCCTGGCATCAATCAGAAAGGACCTATACCGGGGTTCAAGCCGGCGCCGAAGATCGTGGGTGTACAGGTAACGATGGTTGACGAAGAGGGCCTGAAGGCGAGCTTGGCAGAAGGGTTATGACATTGACACAAGTGGGCGACCACAAAAAACTACAATGACATGGATGGCTGTGGGGTGAGGTACTTGGGTAATAGATCTTGAATTTGGATTAGCGAGCATTTCTGAAAGCATTTTTTGTCTGGATTGGCACGATGATACCCCCTTCTAAATTGCTAGGCTGGTCGTTTGTTTCCAGAGGCGAGTGTCGGGCACGATGTATAGTGAAGATAAGGTCATATTGTATATATCTGCACCGCTGATCATGAACGTCCCACATTCGGCAAATGTCAAGAAGAGCAAACTTGCAGAACCATGTCAAGCTGAACATGGCTGGATTCGGCAGGTTGAGTGGAGCGACGGCAAATTACTCTCTACCTAGTGATGGAGTTCCAGTCTTGCTTCGTGTGTAGATGATAGGATATATCAAGGACCACCACCATCACCATCACCGCTACTACCACGGCCAACCAACCAACTCTTCCGATCATATTGCGCACCACCTCAGTCCTCGTTCCACGGCGGGTTCTGCATCCAGTTCCTCCCCCCGACCATGACGCGGGCCTTGATCTCCCGCAGCTTTTGGTAATCGTCGTCCCTGGAGAAGTAGTCACGGCCGTCCATGGCGGCGACGGTGGCGCGGATACAGGCCAGCAGGGCGTCGGCACGGCGCATCTTGTCCTCGACAATCTCCCTGTTGTGGTTACGGACATTGCGTAGACCCCAGATCTCCAGGTCCAGCGTGTACCGTTGGCGCATCATCTCGCGCACACGGCGGAGCTCCTCGGGCGAGACTTTTTGGCCCTTGGGCCGTGGGGTGGGCCGGTCGGCTTTGGAGATGAGCTTGAGGTTTTTACTACAATACCGTGGAAAAGAGGAGGAGGGGAAAGAGGGTCAGTTAATGATTCGTGTGTATTTTTTCGCTTGTCTTGTATAAAGAGGTTGAGGTGTACGTACTCGGTCTTGAACAGCCGCATGATTGATGAAGGGGGCGCCATGTCTTATCGTGTGATGGTAGTCGATCCTCTCTCCCCTTCTGGTGTTTTCTTGTCCCTGTAGAGGTGGAATAAAACTTGTCAATGTGTACTGTGTGTCATAGGATATAGATGTCGGAATGTGAACGAGCGATCAGATTGGAAAGATTGCACTCGATCAGAAAGGGGACAATATCTATCGATCGACCATAGCACCATCTGCTCGACAGATTAGCCAGTCAAAGTCCCTCACAGACACACACATATGAACAAAAGAGAAAGAATACGAGAAAGATGAAGGAGTCATTATGTGTCCATGTTCGGGGGTTCCTGGTCGGCAGCAGGGAGGGGAGTTGGGAAGTGTCACTGATTAGGCTGAGAGAAGCTGGTCGCAGCCACCACCGAGCATTGAATGGGACTTGAATCTGACTGACTTGGGTGAGGCGGAAAAAGGCATCCATCACTCCCCAGTCCAGCACAATCTCAGCACAATGAGGCTCAAACTTGCCCAATTACCAGCCTCAATTCTCCAAGCGACCCTTGCTGTGCCTTGTTTTTCTGCCTTGTTTTGCTAGATGCACCGGGCTTGCAGGAGCTGAGTCCTAGTGCGTGCATGAGTCCAGATTTCTCCCTGCATCTGCACCTGCGGCTACCTGCAGCCCTAGCGCGCGAACCGATACGAGGACAACTTCTTCTCCTACTCGTAACTACAGACACTCCTCTCCGTGTCCCTCCTACCGACGCATTGAGGCTGACGCGGCCTAGTAATTGGTCGTTTGTCCCTCACATCCCTTGACCACTTGCTCCCGGGCAAAGCGCTGGCCCTGGGCATTCCCCCTCCTCCGGACCTCGGGCTGAATCACAAGATCCAGTGTTGCCGTTGACGGCTTGCGCTGGATAAGGGGATTGGTGCCCTGGGCGGGGAAGATCAGATACACCCTGCATTTCTGTGCCATCACGTCCAGCCAGAAGCTAGCGGCAAGCTCGACGAATTCACGGATGAGTTGGATGTCGTGAGGCGACAAGGTCGCGATGGCTTCAACCGCATTGCGGATCTCGTCCACCGTGACTGTTACACTTTGATCATACGCAGGCTTCAGCCTTATGGATGCATCAGAGTCCGGTTTCTTTGCGGCGTCCCAATAGTCCTTGATGCGGTCGAACCGCCACGTCTCGGATTCCTCGGTGGCTTCTGGCCAATGTGGCATTTCCGAGCCTTGATCTGGGATGGAAGGATTTCATCAGCCTGGAAACTACTGGGGAGGAGGAAGCAAAAAATCCCAGGGCAACAATGCCGCTTACCTTCGCCAAACTCGCTCGTCCATTCACGATGTATTCGTTGGCCTTCGTCACCAAGAACGCCGAATGGAGAGTGGAAGATCTTGTCCCTCAGGATCATCCAGATGCCGCCTTGCACGAGCTGCTGCTTCAACTTCCGGGGATTTTCGGACCGCCGCAGTGCGTACTCCTGAACCGGCCACCGGCCTTCTCGTTTCTTTTCCCATTGGATCCTTGCGAAGCTGTTGACCTCCTGGGCCAGCTTCTTGAAGCGGGTGCAGATCTCCGGGTCAGACAGGCCTTTGAAATGGTCTCGCTTGACCAGCTCCCCTTTCAATTCCTCCGTCTCTAGTCGGAATTGCTCGATCCTCTCCATCTCCCGTTTGCGAGACTCTTTTTCTTTCGTCTCAAATTCTTCCCGGATGCGGTCCAGTTCAAGCTGGATTTGTTTTTCCGTGTCTAACAGGGCATCCTTCAGCTTCTTTTGTTCACTCTCGTGCTTTTCCTTTGCAGACTGCATGGTTGCCCTCCACGACGCAATTTCATTTCGGTGAATGGTGTCTCGGCTGTCCAGTTCGCTGCGATGGCGTTGTTCGGCCATCTGTGCTTGGCTGGCTGCGTCTCTTTGTTGCTTTTCCAGGATACCTTTCCAGGTCTTTTCGACATCGATCATCCTGGCTTGATGGCTGGATTTGAGTTCGCCCATCTGGGTTTGATGTCGGGCTTGCTCCTGCCTGAGGTCGTGGCACTCCCCCGTCAATTTCTTCCAGCTTTGCTCAAGTCCGCTGTACTGCCCTTCCATCTTGCGAAGGGCCTCTGTCTTTGCTTGCAGGTGTTCGATGAGGAGCCTCAAAGCTCCCTCAGGACCTGACTTTTTCAAGACGATATCGACGTTTTGGGACCATGAGGTTTCGCGGGCCGCCCTTCGGAGCTCGCCTTCGATGTTAGTCAATTCCTTGTATGCATCGGCATATGGTTGATAGGCTCCCACGAGGATACCCAGCGCGCTTTCCACTCCCGCTTCTCTTGATTTCAACGCATTGTCCACCTCCTTTCGCGCAGTCTGGGGAGATGCTTTTCTGATTTGCCCTGCAACACGCTCCAGCACGAGGGATGCCGACTTTTTGACCTGGTAGTCGTCTACTACGAGGGCCAGCATGGCCTCGGCACCGCCAGCTTTGTGAGCATTGTTGAGATCAGTCATCCGAACGTCGTGGTTTGCAGATCGCAAACTCTCCTCAACGCGTCGTAGGGCTTGCTCGGCTTTGAGGGCTGACTGACACTGGTCGAGCAGCAATTGAAGACCACCCGCCGTGCCGCGCTTTCTGATCTCTGCGTTTACCTCCATGGTCCGGACATGGCCCTTCATAGCGGCCCGAATCTTGTCTTCGAGATCATCCAAATCCTTCTCCACGGCCAGCAGCGGCTCGTACGTCTCGACGAGAAGCTTGAGCGCGCCGCTGGTGCCCCGCTTCTTGAACGCAGCGTCGAGGTCACTGTCGTTCACCATTCCCTGTGCAGCTCTCCGGATCTCCTTTTCGAGGCGATAGAGCTCATCGTCAGTCGCCCTCGTCGAGCGAGAGGCCCCTGTACTCGACTGGCCGTCCGCCTGACTTTGTGTTCTGTCGCCCATCGCGTCCACTTCCGACGGGCCTGCCGGTTTGTAAGTCGGCTTCGTATAGGCTGGCTTTGGCTGATCACCGGGTAGCTCCGCAGGGTCAACAGCGGTTGGCTTCGAGTGGCCAATGGAGATGGGCAACCTGAACAGACCACCACGGCTCTCTGACGTCTTTGTGCTGGACGATGTATCCCCGAGCTCATGAATGGTTGTGGCACTTTGCGAGAGGCGATTCCCGTCTCCAAAAGGATCTAGCTCTGCTCGCTGCGACCTGGTAGAGGCTTTTGATTCCGAACTTTGGCTTGCTGCTGGATCATGGTCGGGCATGAGTGGTGGTTCTGTTGGGGAGCGAACATTTTCATTTTCCACCGCATTCTTCTTTCCCTTGGCTGAAGTGGTAGTTCTCGAGAGAGGCGAGATAGGTGAACTCTCTGCAATGGTAGACGGTGTCGCCAATGTAGCCGCTTTCTTGTCAGTCACCTCGGACTTGTCACTGGGTTCCGTTTTGGATGATGATAGACGCAGAGGTGCTGGAGCAAGGCTGGGGCTGGAAATCTCGCGTAACATGCCCCTTGCCTTTTTCCTTAACCCGACCATGCTGGAAGAGTGCCGTAGATGAGATGAAGATGAAACAATGTTAGTGTAGACTGGCCTGGATGAAGAGTTCTATTACTCCCATTGAAGATGTTGGGTATGCTGGATTATGGTCTCTCAAGCCTTGGAGGGGCTGGATGTCTGAGGTTTGCAAAGAGTGTCTCGGGTATTCGGATGCCTAGATTGAAAACTAAACATAGTCCTAGAAGGCATTTATGAGGCTGAAGACAAGTGAGTCCCTCTGCCAACTTTTCAGCCTGAAGGAGGAAGGGTAGAGGGGGCCATGAGGCGTAAAGCGGGGCTGAATAGACCTTGACCCCTTTTGGCTAGTTTGGTGCTTTGGGCTGTTCTAGGATCCACACACACCCACCCATTCACAAACACATGCACGAGAGAGGCTGTAAGGTTGCCTCACACTGTCGCCTGTACGCGTGCATTAGCGTTGTCTACAACTCGACTGACTAGATCAGAAAGAGGGTGGCTCTGGTGGAGGCTATTCAGGACTCTGTTTGGACGCAATGCATGCTACGCCTCTCCCCTTCCCTCCCCCGTGGAAGCGATGCATAAAGAGGCTGAACTAGGTTGGTCTGGTCTGGTCTGTTCTGGTCTGGTGAGCCTGGCTAGAACTGGACTATTCATTCCATGGCACACATGTCGGCGACCCGTATCACCTTACACAATCACAATGACAGCCGTGAGGCGTCGAAAGAAGCTGTCCAGACCACCGTGGCAGCCAATCTCAGCCTGACTGGCCGACTAAGACCATGCTGTACCTAGCTACCTGGCCTACTGGTCTCCCTTACCTGCGTGAGCTCCTTGGTCCCTTCTTGGACGACGAGGTAAACCTACTAGCTAAGTATGCCTCTCCCTACCGATCAGCCTCAAGCTGCCCATTTCCTCTCCTGCCCCTCCTCCCACTTTCTCTACCCTTGGGAAATCTTACATACTCGTATATGTATGTGTTTTTCTCTGCTTTGCTTGACGGCCCGACGAGTTCCCTGGCGTCTGCTCTTTGTTTCCCGCGTCTCTCACTTTTCTGCTGACTGATTGACTCTGACGTCGTGGTCTCTTGCCCTTATTTACTGGTGTTTTGGTAGAGGAGGGGACGACTCTCTTCTTAACTAGTCCTACACAATACTTGCATAACCCGCTCATATTATCATGGACGAGAATGGAATGACACCGCACAGAGAGCAGCGGTTCGTCATTGCTGTGGACTATGGCACGACGTACACGGGTATGTTCATCCCCTTAATACAACCACCACACACATAGACTCGCATGTTTTTAGTATACTTGTTCTTCTTTTGCTGCTGCTAGTGCTGATCACTAGGCCTAGGTGTCGCCTACGCGACTCCCAACTCCAATTACCTCCCGCTCGACGAGATCGACCTGATGGAGGACTGGGGACACAACATGGGCAACCACAAAAAGATCCCCAGCGTCATCTCCTTCTCGCCGTCGACCGAGGCCATGGAGCAGCAGTGGGGTTACGACCTGAGCGAACACGCCATCTCGGTCGTCCACACCAAGCTGGAACTCGACCTGCAGGACGTGTCGGGCGAGCTGGACCTCATGCTCCACGCCCTCGACGGCATGTGCGACTTTAGCTTCCAGCACATCAAGGGCGCCGGCGCCGAGCACGCCTTTAGCGACAAGTCCGCCGAGAGGGTTGTGACCGATTACCTGACGAGGGTGTTTGAGCACCTGCTGGCGGCGATTGCCAATTTCTCCTTCTCCATCAGGATTCGCGTCCCGGTTGATCTTGTGGTCACTGTACCGACGGTATGGGATAGTTCTCATAAGCCCCCAGAGGGAACCCGCCCTCTCCCTGCCCTCCTCTTTTATCTGCGTCCCTAATCTCATGAGCTCACAGGAATGGTCCTACCGGGCCAAAAACTCGACCTTCCGCGCCCTCACCACCGCCGGTTTCAACCAGCAAAACTTCCCCAAGCTGGCCAACGTCCTGTTCATCACAGAACCCGAGGCGGCGGCAATCTACACGGCGCGGTATCTGAAGGATGAGGTCCGCGAAATCTTTCTCAAGGTGGGTTTAATGTGTTGGGAGAGAGCGTCGTCCGACCGCGACATTCTTTAGGATGCACTGGGAACTGACGGGAATTTCTCGCGGAATTTTAGCCAAATTCATGTTTCATTCTTTGTGATGCGGGTGGTGGTACCGTCGTAAGTCTCTTTTCCATTCATCCATGGTGACATCCTCCGAAATTGTGCAGATTCTTACGGCAGGGCTCTCGCGTGGCAGGATGTCGTATCATACAAGGTCAAACAGGTGGAACCGTCACTCGTGCTGGAGAGAATCGGAGTACCAACTGGTACGTGTATCTCTCCCCCTGCTCTATACTTTGTATCACTATTCGGTGGCGCGGACAACAGTGGACGACGTACATGCTAAAGCTCCAGACAGGCGACAAATGCGGCGCCATCTACATCGACATAGCCTTCAAGGAATGGCTGAGACAGCAGCTCGGCAACAAATACTACGAGAAACTCGACCTGAACCAGGACCTGCAGCGCGTCAGCTCGCACACGTGCGAGAGCAAGGCCATGCGCGAGCTGATGAAGTCGTTTGACGTGCTGAAGAAGCAGTTCCACAAGAACCACAGGGACATGGCGCTGGATCTGCCCGCGCCACTGCACAATTTGACCCTCGAGGGCCGCGTCGACTGCGGCGAGATCAAGATCTCAAAGTAAGAAAGCACACACACACTCCGAAATTTCTATGCTTGAGCCAGTGTTGTCTCCTCCTGCTAACACTCTCAACTCTGTCCCTTCTAGCGCCACAATGACTGGATTCTTCGACTTTTGTGTGGGCAAGATCATGGATTTGCTTACGGGACATATCCGCCAGATTGACAACCTGGGCAAGCAAGTCAAGGTGAGGTTTCTCCGCCTACCCACACCGCCTCTCTTGCGGGATGAAACAGAGAAGAAAGAGAGCAAAATACTAACAAAAGAAAATGAATCGCTTTTCTTTTGGGACAGAACATCTTCCTCGTCGGCGGCTTCGGCGAATCGCCTTACCTGCAAGAAGAGATTGAATTCTCGCTGCGCCTGAGACGGATCAAGCTGCGACGGCCCGACACGTCGTGGACGGCCGTGGTCCGGGGCGCCGTGCTGCACGGCATCGAAAAGGACACCATCTCGAACCTGTCGATCGCGACGGCGTGCCCGCGCCACTTTGGCATCAGCGTCAGCGAGCAGTTCTCCAAGATCCACCACGAGGAGCGCGACATCACCGTCAACCCCATCACCAACTCGCAGATCGTCGAGGGCCAGCTGCTGTGGATGCTCAACAAGGGTGACCTGGTCCTGTCCGACACCCCGACCACCGTGTCCCAGCTGATTTCTCTGTCGTTCCGCGAGAATGACAAGGCCAAGCGCCACCTGACCGTCTACTCGTACTCGGACGACGAGGACCGGCCCAACAAGATCAAGAACTCGTTGGACGGTAAGAAGCCCCCCCTCTCTTTTTTCTCCGTTTGTCCCCTTTCCTCTTGTGACTTTCGCGGGGGAGACCCCCCCCCCCCCCCCCCCCCCAAACCCCCTTTTTTTTTTCCCCACCCAACCCCCCCCAGCTACGGTCCTTCATTTTCATTGGTATAGTGGACCTGATTCCCTTCATTACTCACATCTGGTGGTTTGGTTGTGTGTTTTAGAACTCACCGTCTCGCACGTCCTCGAGTACGACCTGACGGGAATCGACCGCAAGCTTCTCGAGAAGCCAAAGGGCCGCCACGGCAGTTTCTACCTCGCCCGCCTGAAGCTCACGCTCTCACTCTCGGCCAACCGGCTGAGCTCGGTGCTCTCGTGGAACGGCGTCGAGCTGGCTGTGGGGGATGAGACGTGGTAGGTGGGTAGGTAAGTAGGTCTGGGGGAGGGGGAGGGGGAGGGGGTTAGGGTGGCATACCGAGAAGAGAAGGGAAAGGCAGGATAGGAAGGAGATGAGGGAGGGGGAAAGAGAATGGGGGATATTCAAGACGACTTACGCCGCGGATGTACAAGAAGGCAAAACAGGTGTGTGTAGTCGAGCGTGCTTTTGTGAGGTGAGTGAGAGAGCGAGAGGGAGAGAGAGAAGGGGGTGTCCTCTCAAAACTAATATTCCAAAAAAAATGTCCCCGGAAGAGAGAGGGGCGGGGTCGACTATATCACATCCATCCAGACTAATCGCCGATATTGTCATGATTACCGGGTATACCTGTCATGTTAGCTATGTACCTGACTATGACTTACCTATATACCTATATCTATACCGAATGTACCCCAGCCAAGGTTCTTGAGACTTGATACTTGATACTCGAGTGGGTCTCTAAGTACCTACCTATTTGGCTGGCTAGGAATAGGCCAGGATGGACGCATGTATTAATCATCTCACGAGCTTAATGAAGCGGAAGGTCGAGGCTGCACTAGTCCTAATACGGCAGTTTGATGATCGCCGGTGGAAGAGAGGGGGGGGGTTGTCAAAGCACTTGTGGTTCAAGCAGACCGTCTTTGGAGACTCACTAGCTGTGTAGTGTGACCGACGATATCGTAAGATTCTTAAAGTCGGCATCAATCAGATCGTGATGTAACATGGAAGACAGGGGTGTCGAAAATGAGAGCAATGTGGAGTGAATTGGGCATTGAATGATAGAGATAGAACCGAATGTATTAAACGCGATCACCACATCAGAGTGAGAAGGTCGACTGACGGCAAAAGTGACGATGGTGGTGGCCGTAATTCCTTGTTGTAAACCATCTCGCTGTCATCGCTCGAGTGAGACGATTTTGATCTCGGTGGCGACCGAGTGGAAAAACCCACAGTACCGCAAGCCATCCGGAATCTTACATGGTACTTCGCGCACTGTAAACTTGAGATCGTCTCGACAGATGGCTGTGAACTGTGAGAACGTCTCGCTTCGAATGGCGGCAGAAATGAGTATGACGACGTCCGGGAAGCGGGCTTTGAGGGTGCTCAGCAGCTCGGCCAGTGGGCGTAGGATGTCGGGGTGGTAGGTAACGTCGGCGCCAATGACGAGATCATAGCGCATGGCTGACTTCTCGGCGTTACTCAGTAACTCAGCAATTGCTGGCTGATCCGTCCAGTCCAATTGGAGAACTTCTGGTGATGTGCGCCCGTCAAGCGTTCCGTTCTCCTTATTCAGCAGGACATTGTTCTCCAAACTCTCACAGACAAGCCCCAAGCCATCGGTGGCCAGCACAGACGACGCCTTGAGGTGGATTGCGCATAGCAAAGAAAGAAATCCCGTTCCAGCGCCTAGTTCGAGGACGTGCTTGTTGTTTACGAGGTCTGGCCGCTGAGTAAAGAGATACCACGCTAGGTGCAGCGCAGCCTCCCACGTACGAAGCCCAACATTGCTGCCTCGCGAAAGGAGATTGCTCGCTTCATTGATGAGGATTGGTCGTACTCCTCGCGCGTCAAGGGAAAGAGGAGGATAGTATGAGTGGACACGCGATTGCTGTGCCTCGTCTGTCTGGTCCCCGTGAGGAAGACTGGACAGGTAGCCCATGTGCTCCATCAGATGATCCGAGACTTGCTGCAGCGTAATTAGACGTGAGTGGTTCAAGCTTTGGGAAGGTAGAATGACAAGGATGTAGGAAGGGGATGGTCGTTATCAATGGCTGCGCCTCCGAGGTTTCAGCCTACATCTTCTTCAGGATCCTTGCAAGTGTTTTCAATCTCTTCAATCAGACGCCGCAGTATCCGGACCTGATACCACGGGGGAGGCAAGTATTTGTTCCGGCTAGCATCGAAAAAATACCGATACAAGCAGTCCTGCACATCCGGGTTGATCAGGAGCGCGCCAGGAGGATAAGTCACATCATTGATCTGCTGCATGTACTGCCGATAGAATTTGATCACGATCGGCTCTACTCCGGCCCGAGCGATGTCCATCTTGACAGTCACCAAGGTTGTGAGAGGTACGTTGTGTGCAATATCAAGAGCAGAGATGCCCGAGTATCAGACATGGAAAGGAGCAAGACCCAACATGCGTTGTGTCCTCACGCATCACGACAACGACAGAGATTGCAAAGGAGTCGGAGTTGGAGATATGTGGTGAAAACCCCACTAGCCTTATACGGAATAGCGCACAAATCGCCAAGATTTCGAAATGCCAAGCCCACAATTTTCGCGGGAGGGAGCGAATCTTTGCTCGACACCGCAGCCCTTCCACAACTGCAGTCAATTCGAGTGTCAACCAAATTCTTTTCGACCAGCTCGACAGTTCCATCCCATCACTGTCTCGATTGCGATCCCCCGTCGAACAGACCACCGCAAAGAATCGCAATCATGGCCGACTCACCGGTCACCATCCGAACTCGCAAGTTCATCACCAACCGACTTCTGTCGCGGAAGCAGATGGTCCTGTAAGAGCGCAACCTCTCCTCCCCCGTATCCCAACCCGATTGCGCAATAGAAATCTCTACCAAAAAAAATAGAGAATCTGAAAACTGACATGTGTTTGCTTTTTTCCCTCTACCGCAGTGACGTCCTCCACCCCAACCGACCCAACGTCTCCAAAGACGACCTCCGCGCTAAACTGGCCGAAGTGTACAAATCCAACAAGGACCAGATCAACGTGTTCGGCATGCGGACGCAGTACGGTGGCGGCAAGTCCACCGGCTTCGCCCTCATCTACGACTCGGTCGAGGCCATGAAGAAATTCGAGCCGCACTATAGATTGGTCAGAGTGGGTCACGCTACCAAGATCGAAAAGGCCAGCAGACAGCAACGCAAGCAGCGCAAGAACCGGTCGAAGGAGTTCCGAGGCACGGCCAAGACAAAGGGTGCGAAGAAGGACAAGAGCAAATAAATGTGAGGTCGTCTCAGGAGGAGAGGTTGTGGTACCTGTGGTGGTTGTGGTGCGTGAATGTGGACTGTTGAGCCGGATCGAGAAAAGGCAATGGTCGCGCCTGTGCTTGTTTCATGTACCGGAAGAAGGGCAAATGAGAAATCCAAGCCTGGCGTACCAATTTTTTGCCCTTTGAAAGCAGATTTGACGGGGCAGGCCTCTGTGCAAAAGAAAAACATGGAGAATGTTAACGCCCATTTCCAGAGAAAAAAGGACAGAGCCGCCCACATCAATCGCGTGCCATCTTGAAAGGTCGAGGGGGTGAAAACCTTTTTCTGCATCAAACGAGTTTGCGGAAGGGGGGCAATATGGCGCAACGAGAGAGATCGACACTGCAATTGAAATGAATATCAAAACACTGTGAAAGGCGAAAAGAGAGACATACACACGAGTCGTCGTCAGGCTATGCCACTTCTAACCCTCTGCCTGTGTGAAATTCTGTTCGTACTTTGTAATACACGACATGACCGTCTTGCTCTCATTGAGCCCGTGTGAGGCAAATCAAAACTCCAAGCAAACCAGGGAGACAGCGCGGTAAGGGCAGCATTGCGTGAGTGGTAATGGTACATGGTTCGTGCTCCCCTAATAGTTCTCTTCTACTCTGCTTCCCAATCCCCAAAACGACTGGACCTCGACGGACTCTGGCCTTTCTTTGTGTGCGCTGCTCGCGCGCAGCAGGAACGAATATTATCTCAAACCCCACCGCCCGTGGGTAGTGGGCATAACGTACACGTCTGGGAAGAGCACTCATACATGAAACCTTCCTCTGTGAGACTGCATACTTTTCCTTCCCGCTTCCAACCCCATCCACAGCCTTCATTGTTACCGGGACGAGGCCACCAGCTCGAAGATTGTAAGTCAATTTGAATCGATGACCCTTCCCATACAAACTTTTTGTCTCGGTGCTTTATCCTCCCTCGTTTCCTCCTTTTCCAAAATCACGCGGTAAGATCAAGAACCAAAAGAAAACAAGGAGGTGATATTACTTGCCGCCGCCGCCGTGATAGCCCGAAAGGCAGTGCCAAATGCCCTTGCCGTGGTGCAGTCCCGTGCTCTTTCCTGTGGCATGGGTAAACCCTCCTGTAGCTTATTAGGTTTATGTGGTTCGTACAACATCGCAGTATACAGAAAACAGAATTGAACGCAGACACGAAGGCCGAGCAAAGTTGTTTTGAAATAGTACAACACAGGTATTAGACGAGGATTGCCGCTTGTGGGGACACGCGTAGAGAGGACGGTATCACAAGCACCAAGAGGCCGTTGTCAGTATTTTGAAGACGTATTGCTGAGCGAAATGGCTGTGGTGCGAGTGGACTCAGCCGTCTGACAACCAGAACAGTCTGGTCTGCAGTCATGTGCGCCAGGTTCTTGCTGTGAGACCAGGGCTCGTCCGTAGAATGAACCACTGAAGGACTGATTGGCAGCTCTCATGGGTTGTGAGTTGTGCCCATCAACTGAACCTTTGTATCCGTATGCCACAGCATGATCCTCCACCGTGGACTTCAAGGTCTGGTGAGATACCGCACCCAAAGGCGAATGTTGTGAGAGTGTGTCGTCCGTCGGGGCCGACGTTACTACTGCGGGCTGGGCTTCATTGACGGCGAGTTGCTCGCTAGAGGCCACTGACGTCGCAGAGAGCACGTCGCTCAAACTCATCTGGCCGTATGTCATGTCCTGAACTCGATAGGGGAGGTTCTCCCTGGAGTTGTGTTGTTCTTGAGCTCCACTTGGTTCTACTGGGGTTGAGACCTGCTGAACAGATGTAACACCATCACCGTTCCAGAAGGTTTGGCTGCGTTGACTTGCAGCAGAAACCGGCAGATCGACTGAACTGGCAGGTGTAGGAATGTAACTGCGTGCATTGATTGGCTGGGGCAGGATACGGTCTGATGGCAGATTTCCACCAGCCCCCATTGTCTGGAACGATTGAGGCGCTTCGTTGGGCATCGTATAGGATGTGCCACTTGCCTGAGAATTGGGCTGATGGACATATTGCTGGGTCTCTGGCCAAAGCGAGCCAGGATGTGGTCGAACCCCATGGCCATGGACATAGTAAGCGTTGTTTGTTGACATTGGATCCGTGTTTGGAAGAATGTATGGAGGTGGTTGGGTCGTGTAAGGGCTGGTTTCTTCGTCATCTGGGTATGGCGAGTAGGGTCCGACGTATTGTGCTCTTCCCCAATCAACATTTGAACTTTGACTAGTGTATCCACCATAGTCAATGCCATTGGGGACAGCGTGATATTGCAGACTGCTTTGTGGGCTACACCTCGAGGGCATCGAGACGTAATTCAAACGATGGTGCGTAGGAAGGGAATACGGTGAATATCGTGGAGGCCCGTGCCATCCCCGAAAGCCATATTGACTAGGATCTACCGAGGAGACCTGCATTTTGTTAGGTTAGTGTGCATAGTTGGATTGCAGAAGAAAGCTCACCCGTAGAAAGCGACACGAGTCCTCCAGCCCCGAGTTCTTGCAGTTTGCACATGCTTGTCTATCACCTTCGTTGCCGCTGCATTTGATTTTGCGTTTCCGGCATCTCTCACACTGCAATACGTGAGCAAGCGATACGCTGGATATGGCCCCACGATCGTTTCAATACGTACAGCAACTGGGACACGTTTTCTGGAGCCGCTCGATGCTCTGCTATCCGGTTCAGATGTGGGTGTAGTGCGGCTACTGAGGTGACCTCCCGTCTCATATTGATCATTGATGTGAGAACTCTGGCTCAGGGCCATATGTGGGCCTCTCTCATTGCGTCTGAAGAACTCGAAGTCTGGGTAAAGTGATCGTGTTGAAATCTGGGGCTTTTGTCAATGGGAAGAAATGTAACTTCCGGGGTTTTCCTTACCATGATGCGTGTTTGAAAACACGAGTGGCCAGAAGCGAGCAAGAGCCTTGGGTCCTTCGGCTTCGACCACGGCCAGTCCTGAAGCAAGCTCTCTAACGACAGTCTCGGACCTTGGAGTAGCCCAGAGCTGATTCTGAGCAATGAGATGTTGAGAAAGAACAGAAGAGAGCCAGGATCAGGTTGATAGTGACATTTTCAAGGGCATACTCCAATAGGAAAAGAGATGGACAAGCTTCAACTTGTTGCTGGAGCCAGATCGAGGAGGTATGTCATATCATGATCGACGTCAATCTGAAAAAGATTTGCTACTCTCCCAACTTACGCCTGGATCAAGTCACGCCTTCGGAGTTGGCCTTTGAAACCTGATCTAAGATTCCCTTGTAACGGCCATGCTGCAGGCATCCGACGGTGTGACCATGATGCTTGGTCCACTGCGACAACATGATTCAGCGGGCATAACATGGGCTGACCAGTCATCGACCAACTGATGGAGCGCCTGCCATATCAGCTGTGAAACAAATCCGACGCACAAGGCCAATCAAAACATCATGATGCTCCAGAGACCAACCTGCAAATGTACTTGAGCAATGAGTGCAGGTAGCATTGGTTCTGGATCTAGCGTCGACAGGTTCCATGTGGGGAAACAAGACAACCCTGCAGCCTCTTTGAGCCACACCTGGTGGGTTGTGGGTTACGCATCTTCGTGCGGACATGCTTTGCAGAGGGTGGGATGGAAATCATCTTGTGTTGTCGGTACTAACCTCAACAAGAGACAGAGGCTGGATACTGTTTGCTCTCAAGATGCCTCTGCTTTGATTGGCTACAAGCCCCTGTAGAAACGTGGCATATGCATCATCTGCACCTGAGCAAACTCACAGCTGGTAATCCCCTTTGAAAATTGGGCCATGGTTAGGGGGACGCGAGGCCAAGTATTTTGCGGAAAATTTCCAAATTCTGATATCGATGGAGATTGGCCACCAACTGCACAGCCTTGCCCTCTAGTAGTCGATTGAGCCTTTGACCGCAGACAGCCCGCAGAGAATAGATAACTTTCCGTATGGCCTCACTGAGTCGATAAAGGCTCTCCTGACTTGAAAAAGGCCAGCCAGTTACGGGATAGGCCCAGGCGCTAAGCCTGCAAAAAACGTTGATGCACATGACAAAGGGTAGCAGTGGTGCATGTCACTAGGAGGAGGCCTCCTGAGTCGGAGTGAACTCTGTGGCCAATGTTAGCCCCTGGACAAGAGCTGCACAAAGCCTGCGGGACATCACAGAACATCTTGGTTGCACAAGATGTCAAAAGGTTGACCTCATTCTTCAGAAGCCCAGCGTGCAGAGCAATCTGACAAATCAGAGACTGAGTTTCAGGTGCCTCTTGGTGACACAAAGGCGCATCGATACCAGGATGGAGCCTCAACGAGACCAGAACCGCCACCACACTTTTGTGAGAGGCTTCCCAGGAAGACCCCTCCACAAGGTGTGCGCACAACAGGAGGTGGTGCCGAAGACGACCCTAAAAGTGCTATCATCCTCAAGGTGACCAGATAGTGCAGGGCGCAGCACCAAGTACTATTGTTATAGGACATCACGATTTGATGGTGCAAAGAGCATGGCATCTCAGCCAGTGGATAAAGATGAGCACAGTGCCGTCTGGGGTTGTCAGGTTCTGGGTAGATGCGGAAAATAAATCTCCATCAGCTGACATTTGAAGATCAGCCAGGCGAGATCGCAGCCTCCATCTGTGCAGACTCATGTAGTGCAGAGCAATGCTGGTTGCAGCCCAAACGAGGGTTGATAGCCCGCCCAGGGCAGGGCCGCTGGACCTGTCATCGAAGCGGGTGGAAGCCGAGAAGGAAGGCGGTTCGTGACAGAATCGGGGGATTTTTGTATGACTGTGCATAGGAGAAGAGAAGGGGTGGATAGTTGCATGACCAAAAGTCGTGTACAGAGTACTTTTTCGTCAATTAAAAAACATCCTGCATTAAAGTTGCTATCAGAACGAGTGAGGGAGAGCGAGTGGTCAAACAAACTCGGCCTCCACAGTGGTGCTGACATGTGAGAGGACCTAGTTGGACAGAGGGCCTGTTGGATCCTCAAGGGGGACAATGTACACCAGGATCAGATGTCCAGTAGGCCAACCCAGGGTCGTGGTGGGAGTATTTGCGCAGAGGAGCGGAAGCGTAGGTACTAAGCCTCAGTTCAGCCCATCTTTGGTCTAAGAAGAAGGTCGTTCTCAGGTAGGGGCAGGACTTGTGTAATGAGCAGGGAATCGGGGAGGTAGGTCAGGATGAACAGGAAGAGGAAGCCTTGAGCTGGACGAGATATTCATGAAGGGAGGCGATGGTGAGGATGGCGTGCAAAGGGTTCGAAAAGCCCGAAATGGGCCGCAGGGCGCAAGGAGCCGCCTTGGCTGCGGATTTCAAATGACACTATATGACATTGTCATTTCAAATTTCTTTTCTTGGATGGGACTCGACTGATGGTCAATTCAAAGCAACACATGGCTTCAAAGCACGTCCTCAGCACCCACCATCCCCTTGCCAATCAGCCTACGGCTTCATCGCACATCATATGATCGCAACCATTGCCTCGTGACAATCGCTATTACCGCGTCAGTGACCACACGCATGCCCCGCAGAAGTGAGTGCCTCAAGGTGCATCTCGAATCATCGCTGGAGCCTTCGCCATGAGTGTGATACTGGAGACCTCTCTCGGCGAGATTGTCATCGACCTCTTGGTTGACAATGCACCCAGATGCTGTGAGAAGTAAGGCCCGTCTCTGCGATGTCGTTGCTGTCAGTGCACTAACCGGTGATTCAGCTTTTTAAAACTTTGCAAAATCAAGTATTACAACTTCTCCCCGTTTCACAGCGTCCAGAAAGGCTTTAGTTGTCAGACTGGAGATCCACTCGGTCCAGATTCGCCCGAAAGTGATGGCGGTAGTTCTATCTGGGGCTTGCTATCGGGCCCATCAAAGAAGAGCTTTATGGTCAAAATCGACCCCAAGCTGAAACATTCCCAGCGTGGGACAGTCAGTATGGCAACAGTGCCCTCGCCACACGATCCCGATGAGCGACTCGCTGGCAGCCAGTTCATCATAACCCTCGGAGATGACATTGATTACTTGGACGGGAAGGCCGCCCCTTTTGGCATGGTAGTCGAAGGCTTCGACACTCTGGACAAAATCAACAATGCCTTCACTGATTCCAATGGTAGACCTCTCAAGGACATCCGCATCCGGCACACCATAATATTAGAAGACCCATACGACGACCCACCAGGGCTGGTTGTGCCCGACTCAAGCCCTGCGCCGACCAAGGCACAATTGGCCACTGTTATGATCGCGGATGATGAAGAATTGGACGAAGAAGTGGACGAAGTGGCCCTAGAGAAACTACGAAGAGAACGAGAGGCAAGAGCACAGGCTCTGACTCTCGAAATGGTTGGTGACCTCCCTTTTGCCGAGGTCAAGCCTCCGGAGAATGTTCTTTTCGTTTGCAAATTGAATCCCGTCACAAACGACGAAGATCTCGAGCTGATTTTCAGTCGGTTTGGCAAAATCCTCTCTTGCGAGGTCATCAGAGATAAACGCACTGGTGACAGCCTACAGTATGCCTTTATTGAGTTTGAGAATCAAAAGGACTGTGAGCAAGCCTACTTCAAGATGCAAGGTGTGCTCATCGACGACCACCGCATCCACGTGGACTTCTCGCAGAGTGTCTCTAAGTTGTCTGATACCTGGAGAGACGCAACGAACTCGAAGAGGGCGAGACAATCCGGGGGGTTCGGTGGGATTGCGAATCTCGAGAAGCGTCGACATTACCGTGAGGACGACGGACGTGGACAAAGTGGCGGCAACTACCGAATGGTATTTGACAAAGAGGACATCCGCCGAAACAAAGAGTCTCGGCGAGAGGAGGAGCCTCGAAGATCTCGGAGCAGAAGTAGAAGCCCGCGACATGACGGGAAGGAATCCAGACGAAACGAGTACCGAAATAAAGATCAGGATAGACGCGACCACAGAGATCGTGGGGAAAGAGGTCATTATCGTGACAGAGACAGAGATGTTGACCGGGACAGAGCACGGCGAGGACAGTCGTATCGCTCGGGCCCCCGGAGGGACAGAGACCGCTGAGGTGGAAAAGCAGGAGAGCTCATTTATGCTGTACAACAACAACTACTACTACTGTCAGGATCCTAAGCATCAACTACGCGTAATAGTGTACCAAGTCGCTGTAAACTTGGCTGATGATTGGATTGTATCGCGGTCATGCATCGCATATCTCGTTGATTGAAACCTTGTCATACGTCACCGCGAGGCTGAGATGATTTGGTGAGGACGAAGGATGCGGAGAATGTTTTGAAACCCTGTCTGACGTTTCGTCTCACCACGCTAAACATCGCTCCCTTCCCTCTCCAGAAGCCGCAGCTCAGCTGAGCCAGCTGAACCAAAGCTGATTTCGTTGACCCCCGTTTGGGAACTGGTCTGCTTTTGAAAGGGTGAGAAACAGAGAGTCCTTGTCCGCCGAAGGGACACCTTTCTTTCTCGCCGCCACTGTCCTACCACTTCCTCTCCACGATCAGATTCCATTGCGATCGCCAACAACAATTCATGATGGCTGCAAACATGGTGAATACGCTTCTCGAAAAGCTCCATCTGACATCCAAAGATCAGGGAGCTCCGGCCCAAGAACCTGGCGAAGCGGAGTTGAAAGCTTTGCGTCAGAAATACGAGAAGGCGAATCAAGGGCATGTCCTTGCCTTCTACGACGAACTCGATGTGGAGGGGAAAGCTGCTCTGTTTGAACAGCTATCCAACTTCGACCCAGATCGTATCAATGTCCTCGCAGACAAAGCCCTCCACCCTCCGAAAGACTCAGACCAGCAGGAAACCTCCATCAATCCCCTCCCCGAATCCGCCACCGCCTCCCTTCTCGATGCCCCTGATGAACAAAAAGAAGAGTGGTATAAGGCTGGACTTTCTCTTATTGCACAGAACAAAGTGGGTGTGGTATTGATGGCGGGTGGACAAGGGACGAGACTGGGCAGCTCTGATCCTAAGGGATGCTTTGACATTGGCCTGCCCAGCAAGAAGTCGTTGTTCCAGATGCAGGCAGAACGGATCTGGAAGGTGCAACAACTGGCCAAACAACATGCTGGCTCTTCTACCGACCCAGTTGTCCCCTGGTATGTCATGACCAGTGGTCCTACTCGAGCACCTACGGAGAAGTTCTTTGAGAAGCACAACTACTTTGGTCTGGCCAAGGAGAACGTTGTCATCTTCGAGCAGGGTGTCCTCCCATGCATTTCCAACGAAGGAAAGATTCTTATGGAAAGCAAATCCAAGGTTGCCGTGGCTCCTGATGGGAATGGTGGCATCTACCAAGCTCTAGTACTGTCCGGAGCTCGTGCAGATCAACGAAAACGTGGTATTGAACACGTCCATGCTTACTGCGTTGATAACTGCCTGGTCAAAGTCGCAGATCCAGTCTTCATTGGCTTCGCAGCCTCCAAGGACGTCGACATTGCGACCAAAGTTGTGCGAAAGCGGGCAGCAAACGAACCGGTTGGCCTGATTGTGGAGAAGAACGGAAAGCCGGACGTGGTCGAGTACTCTGAGATTGACAAGGAGATGGCCGAAGCCACGGACAGTTCAGATCGCCTGAAATTCCGAGCTGCCAACATCGTCAACCACTACTACTCATTCCGGTTCTTTGAAGCCATTGAAGAATGGGGACACAAGTTGCCTCATCACGTTGCGAAGAAGAAAATCCCCTATATGGACACGGAGACGGGCGAGACCGTCAAACCCGAGAAACCAAATGGGATCAAGTTGGAGCAGTTTGTGTTTGACGTCTTTCCATTTGTCCCAATGGAGAAGTTTGCCTGCCTCGAAGTTGACCGCAAAGAGGAATTCTCACCACTGAAGAATGCTCGTGGCTCGGCAGAAGATAACCCAGATACCAGCAAAGCAGACATCATGGAACAAGGAGCCCGGTGGCTGGCGGCTGCAGGTGCTACAGTCGTGTCCGAGGGCAGTGACAAGGGTGTCGAAGTGTCCCCACTCATCAGCTATGTATGTTGCGGTCCTTACTTTGCAATATGCCTAGGGTGATGCTAACTTTTCTTTTAGGGTGGTGAGGGCCTCGGCTACTTGAAAGGCAGAGAGATCAAGGCCCCGGCTGTGATCGAAAGAAGCCCATCGGAGTAGGCCAATACAGACGGCAAAGGGAAAAAGGGCTACGTGATTATGATCTTGGATGAATAGAATGGCAGAGTTCTGCATTCGGGTACCGGACAGGGAGTTAACAAGCACGCTGGGATGATAAAAGAGATACGATATACCGAGTACCTAGACTGAATTGGGTCGCGCACCTTCAGCGGCTCCAAGCGGACATTTTCTATTGTGTGCTGTAGTTTCACATTCCCTGCTCACCTTTCTACTAATATACCAAGAGAATGGGAGCCAATGGTCACTCCCGTCACCATCGCCATCACCATCACCATCACCTGTCACTATCACTCTCATTCTCTCGCTTCAGCCTTACCACGTGCCACGCTCCAGAACGAACAATGTCTCCACAAACATCAAACGGCGCTAAGCCACCTTGGTACTAGCTTCCTTGGCATTGGTGGATTCCGGGATTTGCGACTCTGGACAGTTCCCTTGTCGCTTTCTTTTTTCTCTGTCACCAGTTGGTGTTGATCGGTCGTCGTACGGTTCTACGGAGGCTGGAAGTCGTTGGAAAGGTCGTGTGGGAAGTTGCGCCATCTGTAAGTGACCGTCTCCTCGAGTTCAATCTTGTTCCAAGCTGGCTTGTTCACTTGTGCCCCTCTTTGAACCCAATTCCCAAAGTTCGAGAACGTGTCCCCCCTTCTGCACCTATCCGCGATCTTGCATCTTCCAGCGGGCTAACGTCTGATCGCAGGTTGCGGGACTTGGGATACTCGAACGCGGTTTCAATTGAGCAGGTATGCTCTTGTCCTCTGATCTTTTTTTTGGATGCGTCGCCGCCCGTCCCCAATCGGGGCTAGAAATCGTCGAACCTCTCACAGACGTCCCATGCGTGCGCGTGGAGGCCATTATCGTCGCGCATGCCACAATTACAAGAGAAGGGTTCTAATGCTATTGCTCTAGGGACTGAGGAAATTATTCAGCAAAAAAACAACTCAAGATGTCGACCCTTTCTCGACGCGCCTGCTACAAGTGTGGCAATGTTGGCCATTATGCGGAAGTTTGCACTTCCTCTGAGAGGTTGTGCTACAACTGCAAGCAACCAGGCCACGAATCAAACCAGTGCCCTATGCCACGTACAACGGAGAGTGAGTGCCAGCTTTTCAGATGTCCCAAGCTCCATGTGCTGATGGAGTGATTTTTTCGCAGCGAAACAATGCTATCATTGTCAAGGCCTGGGGCATGTGCAAGCGGATTGCCCGACTCTCCGCATCAACGGCGGCCCTGCTGGTGGTCGCTGCTATTCATGTGGCCAGATTGGTCACTTGGCTCGAAACTGCCCTACTCCAAACATGGGACCACCAACTCGTGGTCGTGGGGGTTATGGTGGCTTCCGCCCGGGTTACGGTGTTACCAACAACCGGGCTGCTATGTGCTACAAGTGCGGTGGACCGAACCATTACGCTCGAGACTGTCAAGCTCAAGCTATGAAATGCTATGCCTGTGGCAAACTCGTGAGTCTCACCGTTTGCTTTTAAGTCCTTTCAAGACCATGGTATTGACAAAATATATTCAGGGCCACATCTCTCGCGACTGCACTGCCCCCAATGGTGGGCCGCTGAACGCGGCAGGCAAGACCTGCTACAAGTGCGGCCAGCCAGGTCATATCAGCAAAGACTGCACTTCCACCACTGAAACCAATGGTTCGGCGGTTGCTGTGACGAATGGAACTCCTGCTGATGCCCCTGCAGCTGCTCCTGCGGCGGATCCCACCGAGGTCTCTGCCACCGCCGCCCCCGCCGCCGCGGTTGCGTAGGGCAGGCAACATCACCCCATCCTGCACCACTGCACGGCAGCTCAAGTTTCCTTGCTACTGTTCCTCGTATTTTGCACGTTGCTTTTTGAGCTCCTCCTCGGGGCAATATCGACACACAGACAGTCTTTTCCGCAAACCCCTATCCCCTCAGCATCCCGTTGTTTTTCTGTTTATCCTCCCCTTTTTTTTGACGAGTCCAATTTTCCGTCACGTTTACGATACCACCGGAGGCTGCTATGCCTTTGATTCCTTTTTTTGGCAGTACGCATCGAATCATCGACGCCCCTTTTTGGCGTTCACGACCCTTCACACGACGAACAACCACTGCAAGACTATTCACGATACAAAAACCGGCAAGGCAGGAGAATAGGATCATCGACCACGAGAGAGAAGGAGAGTAATCGAAATATGGACCAGTCTGAAACTTGCGGCAAAATTGAACGAACATGACTCCAGGATTTCACACGGATCACCCCCATTTGACGGTTTCATCTCCGGCGTTTTCTGACGAGGATCACGGAATCTTGCTTTCCAACGCGCTACACAACGAAACGACTTTCCTTGGCTTTTCTCTCTACGATCGGAAGACGCCACCATTTATCAAAAGGATCTGATTGAGAGGAAGTTAGACCTCGCTTTCTGACGGAACCCCAACCGACTAGCTGGACGGATAAGATAGCATATGGAGCGAAGCGGGCAGTGGACGACAACGGAAGAAGTGAAAGCGATGCAGAATGAGCGAGAGGCACTTGAGTTGTGAGAGTGGAGAAGGACGGGAGCCTGAGCGAGTTGAAGCAATAGACTGGGTTGGGAAGCAAAGAGTGAGCCTTCGATTTCGACGAGATCGATGGTTTGCTTGGAGCACACGAGAGAAGCACTTCACCCAAAAAAGGAGAATCAAGGTTGGCATCTGCAAAGTTGTGGGCCATCTTCCTCAGCATCATTATCATCACCATCATATTCCCTTTTTATGAGATGTTTGCAACTTAATGAGAGAAATTTCTCTAGGCGTAGTAGGGAATGCAGTTGAGGTCTGCTGCTCTTTTTGACACTCATTCCACTTTTTTGAGCACGGAGTGCCTTTGGTGAATCTGGGCCGTACACTGTTCATACAGTCGAGTTGCCACGGAGTTCTAGCCACCAGTCTTGACAAGAATTACGATTGTCGATGAGTCCCGATGAAGACCAGCCTCCCACCATTCCCAGATCCTTATTTACCAGCAGAGGCGGGGTTGAGCAGCCCGGCTGCCTGATGCGTCCAGACACGCATGCGTCCTGGGTGCGCACCAGAGGCCCTTCAACCACGAGCGAGATATTTGATGCGAAAGAGCTGGAATCTACAAGGTACATACCAAACGCATACATAAGGGACAAAGGCGGTCGGCTTGAGATGGACCGAGTTGGATATCTCGCCCTTTGTCGGCGCTGTCAAAGGAACGTCAGTAAGAGGAAAATGATCACCAGATGGCACCGAGAGGGCGCATCATAGGGCTCTTCGCCTGACCCCAACTTCCCCCTTGAGAATCCTCTTTGGCGATCCCAATCCTTCAACATGATCCTTTTACACGACAACGGCTTCATGTGGGCCACATCTCACTCCAGTTCGCTCGAACTTTCCAGCGAGAATTCGCAGGGCCCGGCTGTGGGTTTGGCCTCCACGAATGCGAAGGGAGCCTTACGCAATTCGATACCCGCCGGACGATGGGCGTTATGGCTTATTACTTTCAAGGCCTCTTTTACCAGAAACAGGAATCCTTCCGATACGATCCAAAAAACCCCGAACTACTTTCCCCAGGGACCAGCATACGCGACCCATTGTGGAGGTCTCCAGTAAGGACTCCGGTGTGAATATCTCCGGGGCCCGGAACAAAGCATTTATGGATTGATTGCTCTGATGGGGTTATATCTACTTGACTCGAGCAGCAGCAGCTCTCTGCTGGGGAAGCTGAGCAGATACAAACCGGCCCTGCGATCCTCCGCCGACACGAGAGCTAGACCAGAGTACATCCGCTCCTGTCGTCAACTAGATATACAGCATGCGTTTATGGAGACATAGCTTCATAGGCAAGACTTTGGTCTTTGCCGTGACGGCTGCTTCGTGCCAGGCATTCCTGCTGCTGGGCTATGATCAAGGTATGGATGTCCACACGTGTGGGACTCCTCTCACATATCGACGTCCCGCTCAGTGAACTTCGCCGGACCTCTGACAACTTCGGGCAAAACTAGGTGTCATGGGTGGAATCATCGGTGCGGACAACAAGTTCGGAGTCGACTTCAACCATCCAGACGCCGACATGCAAGGAAACATTACGGCTCTCTATGATAGTAAGTTTCACCTCGATCCCTTCAGCAGTACGATGATACGCGGACACGCACAGGCTGATTAGGAGTTTCTCGTTGTTCCCTGTTCTAGTTGGCTGCGTGGTCGGCTCTCTGATCACCTATTTCATCGGTGAGCGGTTGGGGCGACGCACCCTCCTGATCATGGGGGGTTCCATCATGATTCTCGGTACTGCCGTCCTCGCGTCGTCCACGACCATCGCACAGCTTATCGTGGGCCGAATCGTGACCGGAGTGGGCAACGGCATGAACAGTTCAACTGCGCCCGTCTTCCTGTCCGAGTGCTCTCCCGCCTCTCACCGCGGCCTGCTCAACACGTTGCAGGGGACCGTCACGATCCTCGGCGTCGTCATTGCGTATTGGCTCGACTATGGCTTGAGCTTCACCAGTTCGAGCATCCAGTGGCGCTTCCCCTTGGCCTTCCAGGCGGTGTTTGCCGTCTTCCTCGTCCTCCAGGTCATCGGACTCCCAGAGACGCCTCGTTGGCTCGTCCAACATGATCGCTATGAGGAAGCACGTTCCACGATTGCGGCGCTACTGGGAAAACACGAAGACGACGAGCAGGTCACCCGGATGGTACTCGACATCCGCAGCGTCGTCGAAGAAGAACACAAGGGTGGTCCCTTCAAACTGCGCGAGCTATTCTCCATCGACAAGAAGCAGAACTTGCGTCGACTCCTCCTCACCATCTCGATCCAGGCCGGGCAACAGTGGAGCGGTTCAAACATGCTGAATTACTATGCACCTGTCATCTACCAGAACGAGATGAAACTGTCACGGAACCTGTCGCTCATCCTGGGCGGCTGCACCGAAGTGACGTACCTCGTGGGCTCGGCTTTGCCGCTGGCGGTCATGGACCGCTTCGGTCGGAGGATGTTGCTCATGATTTCGTCTGCAGGGCTGTGTTTCTGCTTTGTCATGGTGTCGATTCTGCTCAGCATCGGCACCAAGGCGACCGCGTACGGGGCGACAGCTTTTATCTTCTTGTTCCAGCTCTTCTAGTAAGTTGCTCCCTTTTTCCCCAGGAGATTCAGGTCGCCATATCTGGCCAGGTCAAACGTTGCCAAAGCACTCGGCAACTACCTCTCCGGCCTTCGCCTCCATCTCCGCACCTGTGCGTGTGGCTCTCTCTTTAATTGACACTAACAACCTCAACCAGCGGCATCGGCTGGCTCCCCGTACCGTGGTTCTACCCGTCCGAGATCAACACGACGCGGTACCGGGCGCGCGTGCAGGCCATCTCGAGCGCGTGGAACTGGATGTTCGTGTTCGCGGTCGTCAAGATCACGCCGATCGCGCTGCAGAACATCGGGTGGCGCACCTTTGTCGTCTTCGCCGTGCTCAACGCCGCCTTCATCCCCATGGTCTACTGCTTCTACCCGGAGACCAAGGGCCTCGAGCTCGAGGACATCCCGCTCCTCTTCGACCGCGGCGGCGTCACCGGCGGCGTCCTCTCGAGTCCCGGCGGGAGGACCGTCGTGCCGCACCAGCACGCCCGGGAGAGCCACGTTGGCGAGAAGATGACGATGGGAGGGGGTGGAGCAGTGGGGGCGGGTCAGGCAGAGGAGATTGAGCAGAAGGAGTGAGTCCAGTAGTGGCAATAATAGGAGCTGAACGGATATAGAGAGACAGGAGAGGAACGAAACAAATGAGGCATATAGATTAGAATCCAGAAGAGGAAATGAAAATCAGAAAAAGTACCACCTTGTATATATATATATATATACCAAGCATTGGGGGGGAAAAAAAATCAGGTGTCAAGATACCAACTGGCCGGTAAAGGCACGACCCCCCAAGCAAGATATAATATAGAGAAAAGGAAGGACTTCCCGAGTTCGTCGATACTAGGTACATGTACCTCGTATATTGGCGAAGATCTCCTGCAAGCCAACCTCAACCTCAACCTCCTACTCACTCACTCGATCAGCCCGCCTCCCTCCCAACTTACATGTCCTTTCTATATCTACGAGGGTCGCCAACTTCGAAATCAGAACTAACTAAACATACAGCAGTCCCTGGCGAAGTCCCATGCTATATTTAATATCAATATTAATATTAACACCTAGCATTCAATGAAACAAGTTTCCGGCATGATAAATTAAAAAATAAAAGTTACCAAGTAAAGTCTCTTAAGATTATGTATGACTTTTCTATGTCCGGGTGTTCTTTTTTTCCCTTTGTAAAGACATTATCAGTCGTTTGACTTTCGCATGCCTTTATTTTTGGTGGGGGGACTTGGGCTTCTCGGTGTATATAGAGACATGCATGTTCCTCCTAGAGACCGCGCCACCGTCGTCTCATTCGATCGAGGCACAGTGTATCTCGTGGTATGTAGGTAGGTAGGGAGGTAGATAGAACCCTGAACGCCGATGCTCGTCATGACTGGACATAAAAAACCCAGGTCGAATAGTCATAGTCACTGTCGCTGTCGCTGTCGCAAAGATATGGATATATGTAGATGTCACCGACTGCATCATGAGACAAGACACAAGGTAGCCAGCCAACCCACATTGTTCGACAAGCTTGGTTTCGCCTCAGAAGGGGGTATCGCAGGATATAAAGACACACAAGCAAAACTAAGTGTCTCTCGTTCGTTTGGTTTCGTTCTGGGTCATTCATTGGCTCACTGGCCTTCTCCCGTGAGCAAGTCCATTATTACC